CAAGAGCAACAAATTATTAAAAAAAACTTTAAGTTTAAAAACTTCATATTTTATCTGAGAATTAAAAAAGCTATGAATTTCAGGTGTGTTTGATTGTCATACATCCTTCTACTTTCATGAACTAAGATTTATCTTTATTAATCAAGAAAAGTGGGAAATCTGAGGTGTTTAAATAAAAGATGTAAAAAAGAAGAATTAAGGTATGGTTTTAGCTTTATTGTGCCCTAAAAATTTAATGTTTTCAAAAAGTTTTGAAACTTGCTTAAATATTAGTTGAGTATATGACTATAATAAATCAGGAAAGAATATAGCATAATGGAGTACCATTCTGGATATATGACGTCATTAATTTGATGCATTTCTCTATTTTAAACAGAAAAAGCCTCAAAATGACCCATTTTAAGGGTTATTTTCCTTAAGAAAATAGTGTCCACAGCCGTCGCCCACGTTTATTTTTAGAAATGTTGTGTAAAATTCTTTGAAAAATCACATATCTCAAAATCTTTGTGGGCGATGCCTGTGGACAATATTATCTGAAAGAAAATTCCTTTGAAAATTGATGTCTTCTGCAACTTTTTAAGAAAATACGGGAAAATGCACAAGTTTATGACATCACAATCAGCATTTGGAAGGTCATGTGAGAAAAATGATTTGTATGATCGTTCTGCATGGAATTTCAATAATTCAAAAAGCATGAGTTTTAATTTTTTACATCACTTTTATTTTTAAGAAAAACACAGGGCAAGATTTGTATTGAAACCGTACCTTGTTCTTTAATCAAGAAAAGTCAAAAAAGAAATGTAAGAAAACAAAACCAACACATCAGTGTTCAGTGATGTGAGCAATGTCAGCAAATCAAACTCCCCCAGTAAAACATAAACAATAACAGAGGTGTTTAACCCATTCTGTAGTTTTCAGTAATTCAAATGATTTCTGTCCGCATTTTGAGCTTGTAATCAGTGAGGCCATTCCAAGTTTTTCCATCTTTAGCATCCGCATGCGCCTTGGTTTGTGACACCGCATATCAGTAAAAACAAACCAAATCAGGAGTCCTGATATTTGTCAAAATCTTTGAATTCTGTCAAGTTCTTTAAATATTTCTCTACAGTATGTCATATTGCGTATATTTTAAGCATTTAATATCTTGAAATTTACCAATTAAATTACTAAACAAAAGATCTTTCTATGAGAAAAATAGATTCATGAAATCAAATCCTTTGAATGATGTCATTTTTATTACTGTAAAGTCTGTTTTATTTGTTGGCTTTTGTGTGTGTGTGTGTTGTTTTTTTTTTTTTTTTTTTGAATAGGTAGGTAGGTTTTTGAATGATGAGTGGATGCTAAACAGAGAAAAAACTTGGAATGGCCTAATTTCATGTTGGCAATGCCTTAAATATCTTATGTACATTTGATAACTTTTGGATGAGAATGATTTATTTCATTGTTACGTTTTTATCTGTTTTGTCAGCATATATCATACATAAATGGCACTTGCCAGAAAAATCAGTGTTCCTTTCATTGCATAAGCATTAATATTAGTACACAGAAAAAAATAAAATTTGGAGCATAACCAAAAAACATAATAACCAGGTAAATCTGTAATCAATATTTTGAAACTAAAATCTGGGATATAATTATATGAAATTTCCATAATAGTACACAGCTCTGCAATAACAGAGCTAGTGCCAATGTTTACAAACACAGTTGTTTGCTGTAAGGTTATGAAGAATACTGTTGTCCTTTAGTATTGAACTGAAGCTATTTTTCAGATAAAACAAGATGTGTTTGTGAAACAGTGATGCCCCCGTATGGCAACTTATAGCAAAGGTTAAACTTTCTCAAATACAAATCAAATATGTTGGTACCCACAGTAGGGTCTTGTCTCGAGAAATATACCAGTGAAATATGAAAGTTCTAACAGCAAACATTGAATAGATATGGAAAAGGTTAAAGTTTTTCAAAAATTAAGTCAAACAAGGTCAAATGGTCAAAATTAATGGTATCCAAGGAAAGGCCTTCTCATGTGAAATATGAAAGATGTAGCACCAATCGTTCAAAAGTTATGGCCAAGTTTTTCAAAAGTAGGTCAAACTCCAAGGTCAAAGGATTACAATTGTTGGTATCCAAAGGAAGGCCTTGTCACAAGGAATAGACATTTTAAGAGCCATTCTCTGTAATGATGAACTTTTATATAGGAGCTGTGGCATGCATAGTCTCAGAATTTCTCCAAATTCTCTATGATAAAAGTCTTTGATGCCGTAAACTAAAATCAGGCAAAAATCAGTTGCTACATGTCATGGTTACCATAGCAACATGTCCTAAAGTTTGATTGATTGTATGTTGTTTTACGTCCCATTCGAGAATTTTTCACTCATATAGAGACGTCACCATATACCGTTGAAGGTCTTCAAATTTTGACCTTTACTCGGCACTCAGGGCCATTGAGCAGTGAGGGATCTTTATCGTGCCAATGCCTGCCGTGACACGGGGCCTCGGTTTTTAAGGTCTCATCCGAAAGACCCGCAACTTTCACTTCAAAGTGCCGAGCGCATGCCGAAGGAACAGTTGCTACCCATTTTTTATCGACTTAGGTCAGTCGCAGCCGAGATTCGAACTCACGACCTCCCGATCACAGAGCGAGTGCTCTACCGACTGAGCTTGAAAAATGGCATTTTTCAACATGTTCAGAGTCCCACAGTTAACGTTTGCAGCAAAGTAAACAAGTGGCAATGACTATTTCTGAATGTTGAAGTCCTGATGTCTTAAATGCATGATAAACATGCTTGGTAAATCAACTGTTACATATGTTACTATGGAAACAAAGTATTCAAAAGTAATAATTTTGTTCATTTAATTTTATACAGTCGTACACTTAAGAATAAAAACAATTATAGGTTAAAATGCAAGCAAATAATAGACAAGAGATCCATGTAACATATACCAAGGATGAAATATGATATTTCTTGTAGGTTGGCAATGGTTGCCATGGTTTTAATACCACAAAGGGATTTTAAATTTACTTTCTTGGTGTTTTAATCTTATCCTATCTTTTTAAAAAACATATTTCTTTATAACTGATGATCAATTTTTAAAGGTGTTGGTGTTACCCTAATTTTCACATTTCAAAAAAATCAAATTCAATTCTTTAAATAGAGCGTTGCTATGGAAATTAACCGAAAAAATATGCATAAAATTCTGAAAAATATTCTGTTTCCTTGGATATGTACCCTTGTATGTAGATTCCCAAAACTTTTATGATTGATATACATGAACAACTAACCTGACTTTCAATTTTGACCACCACTCAATCTCTAACTGAATGCAAAAAGCTGGCACATAGGATTTAATATTGATATAAAATTAATTAAATCGAACATTTTCTACCAGATAAGTACTATTCAAGGTGAGTAAAATAATGTGTTTCTTGATTAAAAGGTAAGTAAATTCCTAAAGCAGCAAAAAATATCACTTTAAACAACTGGTATGTTGTTTCCATGGTTACACTGGAAAGTAACAATTAATCGCAATTTTTCTTATGTTGTCTGTGTTGCAAGGTCCTAAGGATGTATATGTGCCAGTCATGAATTTTATTGTTTTTCCTCAAGACAGTAGCATTAACCCAATCTTCGCAACAGATTCTGCATGGTCACACTGTGTTACCATGGCTACCATGAAAGTTATTTTTAGAATGATATTGCCAATACCTTATTACCTAAGGTCAAATAGTTTTATTGTTTCTCTTTGGTTGTTGATTGGGTTTGATTATGTAACACCTATCATTAATGAATATTGAGCATTTTTCATCATTTTTCAGCATTTAAAATGTATTCCAAATGTATCCATGGTTACCACTTACTTAGAGATAAATTCTAAATAGTTTCTTTATAGCATAATTGGCAACAAGGTGTCATGTTTTTGTGAGAAAGATTTGTTTGTTTTTCTTAGTCTTTATTAAGGCTTAAGAAAGATTCAAAGTAGCTGAAAATTTCAATTTTCCAACTTTTCTTGCTGTTACCATGGCAACTAAAGACACATAGCAACGAAATTTTATTTGATATACAATTTTTGTGTCAAGTTGAAATAATGGGCAAAGTTTCATCAAAATTGGTGACCATTTGTGGCAGAGAAGTTTAAGTGGTTACAAAGAATCGCTATTAAATATGAAAGCCCTAGCACCAACTGTTCAAAAGTTATAGACAAGGTTAAAGTTTTCCAAAAGTAGGTCAAACTCCAAGGTTGAGGTCAAAGGGTCAAAGTTGTTGGTATCCAAAGGAAGGTTTTATCACAAGGATTACATATGTGACGTATAAAAGCCCTAGCACCAACCATTCAAAAGTTATTGCAAAGGTTAAAGTTTTTCAAAAGTAAGTCAAACTCCTAGGTCAAGATCAAAAGGTCAAAGTTGTTGGTAACCACAGGTAGGTCTTGTCACAAGGATTATATTTGTGAAATATGAATGCACCAGCACCAACCATCCAAAAATTTATGGCCAAGGTTAAAGTTTTTTAACAGTAGGTCAAACTCCTAGGTCAAGGTCAAAGTTGTTGGTATCCAAAGGAAGGTCTTGTCACAAGGCATACACATGTGAAGTAAGAAAGTCCTAGCACCAATTGTTCAAAAGTTATGGCCAAGGTTAAAGTTTGGTAAAATTTTGCAAAACTGGGTAAAACTCCAAGGTCAAAAGGTCAAACATGATGGTACCAAATGAAAGGTCTTGTCACAAGGAATACACATGTGAAATATGAAAGCCATAGCTCTAACCAACAAAAGTTATGGGCAATGTTAAAGTTTTTGCAGACAAACAGACAGACAGACAGACGAACAGGGCAAAAACTATACATCCCCGAATCTTCGATACCGGGGCATAGAAATTCTAAATTGTAAACAAAATGATGATGCAAGTGTGTCCATACCCCTTTTCTAAAGAGTATGTTCACATACATGTATTTCTATTACCATGGTAAAAATACTCCAGATTTTAGTAGACTTTAAGCCTATACTTAAATCAAAAAGATCTTCCTTAGTTAAAGAATGCTTCATTTCTGTGATAGATAGCAGTTAAAGTAATGAGAGTTGTTTAGTGACCACTGTCCAGTGTCAGGACAGTAGCCCTGTTGTCTGACCACTTGTTATAAACTCTTGGTTATCAGTTTCTGCTGAAGTATTCAGCACCTTCTCGTTTTCATGGCACATAACAAGCTCTTTATCCCCAGGGTCTGATTCACATGGTTTCTTTTCACTCTTGGGGTCTGATTCACATGGCATCATACCATTCTTGGGGTCTGATTCACATTTTTTTTCATTCTTGGGGTCTGATTCACATTTCTTTTCATTCTTGAGGTCTGATTCACATTTCTTTTCACTCTTGGGGTCTGATTCACATTTCTTTTCACTCTTGGGGTCTGTTTCACATTGTGTCTTTTCACTCTTGGGGTCCGATTCACATGGTGTCTTTTCACCTTTAGGTTCTGCCTCATATGGTGTCTTGTCACCTGCCACATCAATCCCACATGACGTCTTATCACCCTTGGGGTCTGTCCCACATATTGCCTTATCACATTGGATATTACTTCTGTCAGATGATAGATTGAGTTCATCTACAGTATCCTCCTCACTGCTGTCACCCTCGCTGGATGTCTCCGAATTTTCCTGCAGTTGACGGAGGTCCTCTAAGCGGGACTTGGTTTGATCCACCCAGTTCTGGATTCTTTCTGAGTCTATCACCTTCCCTCGCTGCAGTGTGTTACTAGGACTTTCTGTACTTTTTGGTGTCCCATGTCTTGATCTTTCACCAGGGTCAGCCAGAAGAGTGGAGCTACCATCACCGAGTGTACGAGATGAATGTGTGGAAATAGCATCACAGTTATCAACTGTTCGTCCTGAGTTCTGAGACAGGATGTCAGTACTTAAGTCATACGTACTGCTGTGAATGGAGTCTATATGAGGCAAGGCTTTCATTGTATCCTCCTCTGATGATGGATCGCTGTCTGATGAACCTTCGTCATGGTGATGACCTTTAGTGACTCCTTCCTCTGTGTCTGCTTCATTACCCTCGTCAACATCCAGCTGAGGATAAATGAGTCTCATCTGTGACTCGTATGCTGCCTGTATGGACTCGCGACTGATCGAGGGAGGAGGATTGTTCTTGGTTCTAGGAAGTTCATATCCTGCCGAGTCTGTTTCTGGCTCAGAATGCGGATAATTCTCTGATATAGGCTCAGACAGCAAACTGCTGGTAAAGCTGAGTACACTGGCTCCTGAGGGAGTCCTGGAGTGTCCCATGTGAGCATAGATATGAGGGACAGCAGCAGCAGCTCCCAAGGTGGGATAATCCCTGATTTCTCGCTCTATTACATTAACCATTTCCTTGTAAGACTGTCTAGCCTGTTCTGATAGTTCCATCAGGTTATGGAAGTTTTCCTTTGTAAAACAAAAAATTATTAATACATTACTACAATAAATATCATTGATAAGTATTGGCTATCTTACAGTGCAATATTCTGTACATGTCTTTTTGATTACAAGTGTAATCCACTATTTGTTCATTAAAACATAATATACAATTGAACTTCGGTATCTCGAACACCAATATCTCGAATATCATGGATATGTCGAAGTGATTTTGAAGTCCCAACCACTTATTCTTTAAGTATTTTACCCTCGCTATCTTGAATCCTTGGATATCTCAAAGTTTTTTCTAGGTCCCATGGAGTTCGAGATAATGAGGTTTGAATGTATATAACATTGAAGTGTACACTTTCAGGTATACTTTATAGATTTCAGGTGACACCTTTCTGGTGGCTCCAAACAGAAGGACAGATGTGAATGTGACTTATGTGTACTATAGACTTGCCTCAGTTCCACTGTAATTAAAGATTCCAACAACACTGACGGGAACCAGCTTAGCACATGCTCTACCAAGAGCACGTCGTCCCAAGGCAAACACAAACGGAACATTCTGATCATTGCACAAGTTCAAAATGTTGTTTAATGCATCATCCAGTCCACCTGTTAACAAAATAAATATACAACTAATATCTGAGATATAAAATTATTAAGGGCAATCACAGTTCTATATACTTTACTAAAAAGACATAAAGACTGGGGAGTTTGCATTGTGAAACTGATTACTCTAAAGACAGAAATCTATAGTGGTTCAGTACATTTCTCTAAATGTAGCATACATTTAAAAGTGCTATAGCATTTTCATTTAATTAGACAATGTTTGAAAAAATTCTTTACATAAGGACTCTTAACTGTGCATCGGATCAGCTGATCATTAGAGCCACTATACTGGGATAGACAAACTTTCAGATTCACCTGCCCAAAGGGCAAGTGATCTCAAACTTTTACTTGTCCAAATGAAAAACTTGGTTGCCAAAAATTAGATAAGAAGAAAATAAGAAGAAAACTCAATTTATAAAATAAGAAAATAAGAAAATAAGAAGAAAACTCAATTTATTACTGTAAACTTGTAAGTATTATGATAAGAAAAAGTGTGACCAGATACTCTACATAAATTGGGCACCTTGAGCTACTTGAAAAAAATTTCAAGGCCACATTGGTACATATATACCACTGTCCTTGTCAATTTATCCTGTAAACATGTACTGCAATGCAGCAATTACCTGAAAACCCTCTTTTTCTATTATAATAAAATTCATATTTTTAAAAATTATATTTGATAACTGTGAAGCAATACTGATGAAGATAATTGCTATGAAACATACATATCTTGATCAGGATATGTTGTCTTACTTCTGTGAATAAATAAATGAATATCTACATGTAAGTTCAAAGTTTTAAGCATATATACCATGAAAGAAAACAGAATAACAAACCCAATTTTTAAATGAACTGTATTATCTAGAAATGCTACCAGGGGATTCTGAATGCAACAAGAGGCCCAAGGGCCTTGAATCGCTCTTCTGATAAACTGTACAACCTACCACTTCTACCTGAAGCCTCAAAGTATTTTGTATATTTAGATAAACCCTTGAAATTCCAATTCACATTCTGAGAACCCAAGATGATTCTAAGCCAACTAGTACCTGAGAGTTGGTCAGGTGACCTACTTATCATTTGTCATTCTCTGAGGACCCATCAACTAAGTTTGATGATTCTAAACCAATTAATATCTAAAATATCTTTTAAAATTATAGCCATAAAATTTTATAAGTAGGTCAAAGTGACCTACTTTTCAGTTGTTGTACTCCAAGGACCCAAGATGCATCAACTGACAAAGTTTGATGATTCTAAGCCACATAGTAGAAATATTCAATTAAAACCATAAATTTTCAAAAGTAGGTCACGGTGACCTACTTTTCAGTCGACCTACTCCGAAGACCCAAGATGCATCAACTGACAAAGTTTGATGATTCTGAGCCAATAAGTACCCGAAATATTCAATTAAAGCCATAAATTTTCAAAAGTAGGTCATGGTGACCTACTTTTCAGTCGACCTACTCCAAAGACCCACAATGCATCAACTGACAAAGTTTGATGATTCTAAGACAATTAGTACCTGAAATATTTAATTAAAGCCATAAATTTTCAAAAGTAGGTCACTGTGACCTACTTTTCAGTTGACCTTCTCTGAAGATCCAAGATGCATCAACTGAGAAAGTTTGATGATTCTAAGCCAATTAGTGCCTGAAATATTTAATTAAAGCCATAAATTTTCAAAAGTAGGTCAGGGTTGATGTACTTCGAGGACCCAAGATGCATCAACTGACAAAGTTTGATGATCATAGACCTTAAATTGTTCAAAATATGCCTCTAAATCATTTTGAAAAAGAATGGCCGCTAAATTTAAAAAGTAGGTCACCATGACCTACTTTTGAGTCAACATGATATGAGGTCCCTAGATGCATCAACTGACAAGATTTGATGATCCTAGTCCTTATAGTAAGCAAAATATCAACATTTTAATAAAATGTAATTTTTGGTCAACTTTGAAGTGACCTAGAGACCACGCCCTTTGCCCCAGGGTAAATCCCCGTGCAAATTTTAATCTACAACATATATCCTCATCCTTTTGTGCAAGTTTGGTGATAATCTGCCCAGTGGTTCTTGAGAAGAAGATTTTTTAGCAACCAGTACTTTTGTTTCTATTTTCCTAATTATCTCCCCTTATTAAAGGGTCACAACCCTAGTTTTAGTATAAAAGGGAGCCCTTGGGCCAAGGATACCCTGTGACAAATTTGACAATAATTGGCCAAGGGGTTCTTGAGTTATGGTGCATATTCTAAAAAGTTTGCGCACAGCACACAAATAGCGATAGCATTAGCTCTTTGAGCCTTTGGCTCAGAAGAGCTAAAAACAATGTCAGTCATGTATCTGATGGAAATCAAATCTTCTATTTATTGTTTTATTTTAAAATTAATGTAAGCTAGATAACGATCTACATTTCTATCAGAATATCTATCGTTGCCCAATCAAACAAGTAAGTTGACAGTTTCACTTGCCAGAACTGAGAATTTACTTGCCCTGGGCAATCAGATAACTGTTAATGTTGATCCCTGTCATATTGAATTAATAAGAAAATGCACAATTGTAATTGATATGTAATTAAATATTGAATGTCCACACATTACAATACAGAACCTTTGGACTGAATTTTCTCCAGATTTGGGGAAATGATGACTAGCTTTATTTTGCTCAATTTCAGGTGCTTGGTAACTTCCCTCAGACCTAGAACTATTCTTCTCTTGGTTTTAGCCTACAAATAAATAAATACTCAAAAACTTAGGTGAAGTTAAATATACAGCTACAAAGGGCAATTTTTCACAGCTTACCGTTCGTCGCGAATTTGTTACATAGGCGTATCTCATTAATTCAACCTTATAATAATGAACTTCAAATACATGTATTATCAATTTATTTAAACTTAAATTGATTTGAAACATAAACACATACTAATTTATACAGCTAGTATGTAAACATATAAAAAATAATTTTAAAATGCATCTTCATGATCTTCATAGGATAAATATGTTACTTTCTTCCTCTTTTTCAATTATGTTCTATTCCTATATTCCCTATTTTCAATAATAGCACAATACATGTAATTCACATAAACTAGCTGCTCTTTCACATTATTGCAGTACATGTAGAGCTACAATAGGGACCTATATACTATATAGGTCCCTGTCTACTGTACTGACTGAGTCTGTTTTTGGCAAATGCAGAAAACAAATATACAGCATTTGAAAGTCATTTAATATTAAACTTACAATTTAAAGCCAATATCTGTTTTGCTTGTTTATCAAATTAATTGGTCATGTTGGTGTAATGATTAATTAATTAATTAAATTAAAAAGATTTTAAACTTCTGCAATGAAATGGAACACAGTTACATATTATCTGTAATCATTTCAATTCCTTCCAGAGTGTCAAAAATCATAGAAGAAAATAGTTGAATATTAATACTTGTTTATATTTTCAGACAAAAGACGACAATTTATAAATAGAATTGAAGGTAAACGTTTATGCTACTTTCACTTTGTGATTTATTTTTAAAACGATACTTGTTTTATATTAAAAACAGATAGCTTGGACATTCTTAAAGTATTTCAGCTTTTAACCCCTATTCAGATTCTCAAGTGATCAGAGTAATTGCCTAATCACATGTAATTGAAAGAGGGCACCTGTACAGTGTATAGGCAGTGGCGTAGCTAGCAAATATTTACTGTATTCAAAAATGGCAAGGGGTCTGGGGGCCGCCCTGAGGCCCCTAGTGGTCCAGGGGAGGGCCTGGTGGGGGCCCAGGGGGCAAAGCCCCCAGAAGCTCATTGAATTTAACAGTTTTTAATCAAAAGATTACCTTGAAATATTCTATTTTTTACCACCCTGGTTCAACTAAATATTAACAAAAAATTACCCAGTTTTGACTATACTTACAGCTCCACAAAATCCTTTTCTGCTTATCATGAATAAAGACATTACTAAATACAAGAGGCCCATGGGCCTTGAATCGCTCTTCTGATAAACTGTACAACCTATCACTTCTATTTGAAGCCTCGAAGTATCCTGTATATTTAGATAAACCCTTGAAATTCCAATTCACACTCTGAGAACCCAAGATGATTCTAAGCCAATTAGTACCTGAGAGTTGGTCATGGTGACCTACTTATCACTTGTCATTCTCTGAAGACCCATCAACTAAGTTTGATGATTCTAAGCCAATTAATACCTAAATTTTTTTTTAAAATTATAACCATAAAATTTTATAAGTAGGTCAAAGTGACCTACTTTTCAATTGTTTTACTCCAAGGACCCAAGATGCAAAAGTTTGATGATTCTAAGCCAATTAGTACCTGTAATATTTAATTAAAGCCATAAATTTTCAAAAGTAGGTCACCGTGACCTACTTTTCAGTTGCTGTACTCCGAGGACCAAAGATACATCGACTGACAAAGTTTGATGATTCTAGCCAGTAAGTACCCAAAATATTTAATTACAGCCATAAATTTTCAAAAGTAGGTCACGGTGACCTACTTTTCAGTCAACCTACTCCGAGGACCAAAGATGCATCAACTGACAAATTTTGACGATTCTAAGCCAAATAATTCCTGAAAATATTAAATACAGCCATAAAATTTCAAAAGTAGGTCACTGTGACCTACTTTTCAGTTGTTGTACTCCGAGGACCCAAGACGCACCAACTGACAAAGTTTAATGATTCTAAGCCAATTAGTACCCGAAATATTTGACTAAAGCCATAAATTTTCATAAGTAGGTCACCGTGACCTACTTTTCAGTTGTTGTACTCCGAGGACCCATGACGCTTAAACTGACAAAGTTTTATGATTCTAAGCCAATTAGTACCCAAAATATTTTATTAAAGCCATAAATTTTCCGAAAGTATGTCATGGTGACCTACTTTTTAGTCGACCTACTCCGAAGACCCATGAGGCATCAACTGACAAAGTTTGATGATTCTAAGCCAATTAGTACCCGAAATATTTAATTAAAGCCATAAATTTTCAAAAGTAGGTCATGGTGACCTACTTTTTAGTCGACCTACTCTGAAGACCCATGAGGTATCAACTGACAAAGTTTGATGATTCTAAGCCAATTAGTACCTGAAATATTTAATTATAGTCATATAAATTGAAAAGTAGGTCACAGTGACCTACTTTTCAGTTGACCTTTTTGAGGACCCAAGATGCATCAACTTACAAAGTTTTATGATCATAGGACTTAAAATGTCCAAATTATGCCTCTAAAACGCTTTGAAATCGAATGCTTGCAAAGTTCAAAAAGTAGGTCACTGTGACCTACTTTTTAATAAATATGTTTTATGGCCCCAAGATGCATCACCTTACAAGATTTAATGATTCTAAGCCTCCCCGTATTCGAATTAATGACCTTAATTGTTTTAAAAAAGATTAGCCATAAAATTCAAAAAGTAAGTCAAGGTGACCTACTTTTTAGTTGACGTACTTTGAGGACCCAAGATGCATCAACTGACAAAGTTTGATGATCATAGGCCTTAAATTGTTCAAAATATGCCTCTAAATCATTTTGAAAAAGAATGGCCGCTAAATTTAAAAAGTAGGTCACCGTGACCTTCTTTTGAGTCAACATGATATGAGGTCCTTAGATGCACCAACTGACAAGATTTGATGGTTCTAGTCCTTATAGTAAGCAAAATATCAACATTTTAATAAAATGTAATTTTTGGTCAACTTTGAAGTGACCTTGAGACCACGCCCTTTGCCCCAGGGTAAATCCCTGTGCAAATTTTAATCTACAACATATCCTCATCCTTTTGTGTAAGTTTGGTGATAATCTGCCCAGTGGTTCTTGAGAAGAAGATTTTTTAGCAACCAGTACTTTTGTTTCTATTTTCCTAATTATCTCCCCTTGTTAAAGGGTCACAACCCCAGTTTTAGTATAAAAGGGAGCCCTTGGGCCAAGGATACCCTGTGACAAATTTGACAATAATTGGCCAAGGGGTTCTTGAGTTATGGTGCATAAAAATTTAATATCCTCCGTTTGAAATATTGTTATATTTTACTTATCGATTGTTTTGAAATTATAGTACTAGTAAAATGCAGTAAATCTGGGTTTAAAAATTATTAGGGGAATTAGTAAATGGCATATATTATTATTTGCTATTGCTTTGAATTGACAATATTATGAAATTCGTCCTTGAAATACTAAAACCATTACATGAAAGGAGAAGTACACTATATCAAAGATCTTATATAGAAGCTAAAAATATTATAGTTTATATGTAGGGATAAAATAAATCTTTTTTTTTAATTCTAAAACCTATTTTATTTTGATCTATTATAATAATTGAACTTTTGACATCTTTAGAAAATAAATATATATTTAATTATTTTTGTTGAAAAATTTGTGTATTCATTTGTGTTGTTGTGTCAAGGGTGCTACGCCACTAATAGGTACCGTAATGTGAGTTTCTTTGCATAATCGTCCATGGCAGGAGGTGTGAATTGCTGATTGTCCTTAGGTAATCTGCTTTGGAACACACTAATGATTCTAATGAGGGAAAAGGACAGTCAGAATGATAAGGGGCACTAACAGGGAATACAGGGGCGCCTGTGGGGGGCACATGGACGCACTGTGTTGAGAGCGGGGTGCGGCGCCCCTCCATTTCCCCCTAGCTGGAACACTGAGCTAAGTCCAGTTACACTGTACATGTATGCTTCATTTTCTAGCTAGTAACTCCAAATGTCTGTAAATGATTTGATGTAAAAAAGATATTTCCCGTTTATAAAATATTTTTTAACCATGCTGATTTATTTGCATATGAGCTGTGGTACAATACCTAGTTCATGAAAATGAATACACAGAAATACAGCCAATTTGCATGTGTCAATCGAAAGGACTACTGGACTTTAAACAAGTGTATATATAACTAAACCTTCTACTACATTGTTTTAGCATCAATTATAAAGAGATGTTATTTCTAATGGCATTAGTCACTATTGATATGCCCCCTCCCCTTTCATAGCTACTAGAGTCAGTTTCTACAGATATGTAATCACCCTCTTACAGTATTGGTTTATATGTGTACCTTGACAGGGTCCTTGTGGTACATTCTGTCCTGGAAGCGGACCAGGTCCTGTAAGAGATGGGTACAGCAGCTGTCTATGTCCTTATTTAGTACCTGGTTACAGTACCTGTAATAGATACACAGAAACAGGTAGCTTACAGTCCCACATTGTCATTTAAAGAAAAAAAAACATTTACAAGACTATAAAAGTCAGATGAGAAATGTTATACAAGTTACAGATATGTAGAAAACCTATCATACCCAATGTCTGTAGGCCATGAATGGTGATGTAACTAAATTAATATTATTCATCATTGTACATACAATAAAAGGGTTTAAATTCTGTTAATATACCATATAACATTATTATTTTACACTTACTCTCGGAATCTCCTGCTGTGGATCTTCATGCGGACCTCTTTGCCAATGGTCCCTGCTATAGGGCTGTTAACCTCGGAGCTTTGTGGGCTGACACCGGGGGACAGGGGGCTCATACTGATGGGGGAGGTTTGGCTGATAGGAGACAGGTCATTACTGGCAGGGGTCCCTGTACCGGTGTAATCCACCACTGATCCTTTGGAACTGAATGCTGTAAATACAAATATTTCACTGCAGTCACATGTATGTCTCCATGTAAAACTCTTATGAAGAACTTCATTGATAATTCTAGTACTAAATATCTGGTGAATAATGGGAAATATAAATCTCACCATCTTGTGACAGGTCACTCTCATTCCCTGAAACTACTCCAATACCCAGAGAAACACTAAACAGAAAGAAACACAGTGTAAAACAAGACACAATCATGAACATAGTTATTTCCTATGTAGCTTGTAACATGAGCTTTGATAATGGTTACAAAGTCGGGTGTAAATTTCCATACACCCAACTTGAGCCGGGTGTAACAAAAACGTGACATCACAATGCATAGTTTCTCTATGATAAAAAGCAAATAACATGACGTCACATTGCACTGTAGGACGTAGAAAATCTTATCGATGGCTTGAAACACAGTTGGTTGGACTTGTTTACGAAGAACTTATTTGGGTACATAGGAAATAAATTTGATATCCAGGTCCAATCAAGGGTGTATGGGGATTTACCCCAGGTTGTATTCCATACACCCTTCAGCCTTCGGCCTCAGGGTGTATGGAATAAAACCCGGGGTAAATTCCCATACACCCTTGATTGGACCTGGATAACTAATAGAATCACAGGCCATGGCTAATTATAGTTCCCATATGAATTACTTTTATCATCCCTATATAAATGCCTTATGCTTAGGATAGCAACATCGCCTACTGCTTACCCATTATTAGCAGATTCAGCATCATCTAGAAGCCTCATTTTCTTCTTCTCCTCTCTCTCTTTCAGGATAACCTGTAATTAAATGATAGAAAATTCAATCAAACACTCTAATAAAACATTCAAACTGCTGATCAATCTGAGAAATGTAAATTCCTGATTATACAGCCTACTATGGAACTTCAGGGGACCACAGAAAAATGTTCAATACATCCAAAGTTCAATGTAGCCAAAAATGTAGTCATTTAAGAAATAAATAACAAGTTTAAAAACTTCAATGGGAAATGAAGTGGGTCGGTCATGTGATCAAATCCTGTGAAGCCAAAGGCCTTCTCAGAAGATTTGATCACGTACCGATCCACTTCATTTCCCAGTGAAGTTTTTAAACTTGTTATTTATTACTTATATATATACATTTGAGATGAACAATCTAATGTAAATGTTGTACTAACTGTCCTTTGTAGATTTTTACAGAATTATGCAAGGTGTAAATCTTCGTGAAAGGTGATTACACTTCAAATTCTTATGGCAAAGGATTCTGTTTTGAAGGGAATCTTTTGTGAAAGGCTACTTGTGATCATTTATAGTGAGCATATTGTTGTCTGATAATTTTTGTATTCGTGAGAACCAATATTTATGTTGAAAAGGCACAAGAATTAGGTACGATGTTTGATTATAAAAAGTTGGAGGAATTTCAGTTGGAAAGGTATGGATGGAGACATTAGTACTAGTCCGAGCCAGTTAACCTGAAATCAAGCTTAATTACTTTATTAAATTTGACCAAAAACATTATATCTACAATTTTAGTAAGGCATATTCATTATGATGTAGACACAGAGACACTGGCAACAGCTGACATTGTTCAGACATCGCTCTCGATGATGGACGTGTGCTTACCGAAATGTTTGTGGCATGTATTCACTGATATTTTCCAGCAGACTACGCGGGTTATGTATTTTTTCTGCAACAACTGCAACATTAATTCCCGTACTAACAACCAAAGAAAGCATTTTATTGTTTAATTTCCAGCAGATTTGCAAATTTATTGTGAGTAAAATTTAATGAAGAAAAATTTATTGAATACCATTCAGAGTTTATGAAGAAGATAAAACAAAAGGTCTACAGGAAAAATAAGGATAAACGATGAGACCGTGCAGGCTGACATAAAACTTAAAATACATAGTTTTATTCTCTATATAAAATCTCCAAAGAACTGGATGAAATACTTGTTAAAATTTTAAATAAAATGATTATTAATTTACTTGCATATTTTGTACATTTTTTGTATATGAAATGTATGCTATAATTGCTATGTAGAGCAAGTCATTTTATGTAGATATTATTGCGCTGTGTGATTACGTCACATAATGACCTATGACCTTTAAAAAACTTCATACAGGTATGAAGATATTTGCTTTCTACATGTTTATACAATAGAGAGACACCAGAAATATATATATACACATTTAAACATGCATTCTATACACATGTGTATTTATTATTTTTTTTTAATATAACCACACGTTTTAACAAAACATTTACATGTAAAATGCATGGGTATTTGATTTTTCTCTTTACTTTTCACAAAATTGTTAATAAAAACAAAGTTTGCTATAGATGTTTTGTTTTAACTCTAAGTGTCAATGAGCCATTCAATGTTCCTTAGCTGTTTAAATGTGTTTGCAGCAGCTTACATCACATTACTGAATGCAGTATATAAATTTTATAACACCAGATTGTTCATTTCATAATCACTCTTCACTGTCTTTTAAACTGTCCAGATATTTTTCAACAATAACATTGTCATTCAGGGTTTTGATACATATTCTACATAAATATTATCTTCCATTGAAATGTCAGATGAAACAACACAGGAAAACTCAAGTTTCAACAAATCAGTTCCTTGTATAAACAAATACATGTATGTAACCTGTTCTTTATGTATGATGAGTGGTGGCAACAGGATTTCAATACAACCGTTACAAAAACAAAAGCAATAATTCAACAAGAGGCCCAAGGACCTTGAATCACTCTTCTGATAAACTGTACAACCTATCACTTCTATTTGAAGCCTTTAAGTATCCTGTATATTTAGATAAAGCTTTGCAATTCCAAAGGTAGGTCATCATGACCTACATTTTAGATGAAACACTCTGAGAACCCAAGATGATTCTAAGCCAATTAATACCTGAGAGTAGGTCATGGTGACCTACTTATCACTTGTCATTCTCTGAGGACCCAAGATGCATCAACTAAGTTTGATGATTCTAGGCGAATTAATACCCTAAAATAATTTTCAAAATTATATCCATAAAATTTCAAAAGTAGGTCACAGTGACTTACTTTTCAGATGACATACTTTGAGGATCCAAGATGCATCAACTGACAAAGTTTGATGATTCTAAGCCAATTAGTACCTGATATATTTAAATAAAACCATAAAATTTCAAAAATAGGTCACAGGGACCTCCTTTTCAGTTGACTAACTCAGCAGACCCAAGCCAATTAATACCTGAAATATTATATTAAAGCCATTAATTTTCAAAAGTAGCTCATGGTGACCTACTTTTCAGTTGACCTACTCCAAAGACCCAAGATGCATCAACTGACAAAGTTTGATGATTCTAAGCCAATTAATACCAAAAATAGTCATATAAATTGAAAAGTAGGTCACGGTGACCTACTTTTCAGACAAACTACTCCGAGGATCCAAGATGCATCAACTGACAAAGTTTGATGATTCTTAGCCAATTAGTACCCGAAATATTTAATTATAGTCATATAAATTGAAAAAGTAGGTCATGGTGACCTACTTTTCAGTCGACCTACTCTGAGGACCCAAGATGCATCAACTGATGAATTTTGATGATTCTAAGCCAAATAGTGCCCAAAATATTTAATTATAGTCATATAAATTGAAAAGTAGGTCAAGGTGACCTACTTTTCAATCAACCTACTCCGAGGATGCATCAACTGACAAATTTTGATGATTCTAAGCCAAATAGTAACCGAAAATATTAAATACAGCCATAAAATTTCAAAGTAGGTCATGGTAACCTACTTTTCAGTTGTCGTACTCCAAGGACCCAAGGTGCATCCACTGACAAAGTTTGATGATTCTAAGCCAATTAGTACCTGAAAATATTTAATTAAAGCCATAAATTTTCAAAAGTAGGTCATGGTGACCTACTTCTCAGTTGTTGTACACCGAAGACCCAAGATGCATCAACTGACAAAGTTTGATGATTCTAAGCCAATTAGTACTCGAAATATTTAATTAAAGTAATAAATTTTCAAAAGCAGGTCACCTACTTTTCAGTCGACCTACTCCAAAGACCCAAGATACATCAATTGACAAAGGTTAATGATTCTCAGCCAATTAGTACCCGCAATATTTAATTATAGTCATATAAATTGAAAAGTAGGTCACGGTGACCTACTTTTCAGTTGACGTTTTTCAAAAACCCAAGATGCATCAACTTACAAAGTTTTATGATCATAGGCCAAAAATGTCCAAAATATGCCTTTAAAACACTTTGAAATCAAATGCTTGCAAAGTTCAAAAAGTAGGTCACTGTGACCTACTTTTTAATAAATATGTTTTATGCCCCAAGATGCATCATCTTACAAGATTTAATGATTCTAAGCCTCCCCGTATTCGAATTAATGACCTTAATTGTTTTAAAAAAGATTAGCCATAAAATTCAAAAAGTAGGTCAAGGTGACCTACTTTTTAGTTGACGTACTTTGAGGACCCAAGATGCATCAACTGACAAAGTTTGATGATCATAGGCCTTAAATTGTTCAAAATATGCCTCTAAATCATTTTGAAAAAGAATGGCCGCTAAATTTAAAAAGTAGGTCACCGTGACCTACTTTTGAGTCAACATGATATGAGGTCCTTAGATGCATCAACTGACAAGATTTGATGGTCCTAGTCCTTATAGTAAGCAAAATATCAACATTTTAATAAAATGTAATTTTTGGTCAACTTTGAAGTGACCTTGAGACCACGCCCTTTGCCCCACGGTAAATCCCTGTGCAAATTTTAATCTATAACATATCCTCATCCTTTTGTGTAAGTTTGGTGATAATCTGCCCAGTGGTTCTTGAGAAGAAGATTTTCTAGCAACCAGTACTTTTGGTTTTATTTATCTAATTATCTCCGTTGTTTAAGGGTCAGAACTAGGGATGTCAATTTAGACAATAATTCATATTCGGATATTCAATGAATGTATTCGAATATATTCGAATATTCGATAAAATAAATAAAATATGTTTTATCTTAAATATGCATCATGGAAGGTTAAGCGTAGGTATACTTATTTTGGAAGTAAAATTGTATGAAGACTTTTGTAGGTGTACAAGAAGAAATTTCATTTGATATTTGTCAATGTTTGAAATAAATAATTGATTTAAATGTAGAAAAGTATAATTTTAACAAATGAAACGTGTATTTATCGTAGCTCCATCTGAGGAACCAGTCGTCATACTAAAGGCAACGGTATACTGTTCAGATTTCAATACGTGTTATGAATTACAATTATCTGTCTTATAAGAGATATGATTATAATCTTTGATACAATGTAAACAAATATTTCCATAGACAATTTTCCTAGTTAATTAACTAATTTCCCCATAATGAATATAAAATTCAGGATTATGTACAACCCGAGATAACCAAGTAATTTACACATTTATTCTGAAATTAAGCCCTTTACAATATTAATTACAGACTAACTCTATCAGACATCCATTCAATTATCAATTAATTTATACTCTTCACGCCTTTTAGACATTCTAAGATTTCATTTTGTTTTCCTCGATTCTAGATCCGATCATATCTAACTAGAAAAAACTATGAAAGTACGTTTTGTATTATACATAAAGCATTATTGTACAATTCTTTAACACCTTACTCAAAACAAAATCTATATAATTTAGTAGATCTATAAGATAAGAAAGTAGTGAAAGAAATCAGGCGATCGAAATTGATCGCTAGTAAATTAAACAGGGATAATCCAAGCACTGTTCTAATCAAAATTCATCAATCACAGTACTTCTTTTTATATATATATATGGAATTTTTCAAATATTCGAATCTTAAATTCATCTTCGAATATCAACTCATCGAATGAATATTCGAAAATTCGTTGCCATCCCTAGTCAGAACCCTAGTTTTAGTATAAACCTGAGCCCTTGGGCCAAGGATACCTGTGACAAATTTGACAATAATTGGCCAAGGGGTTCTTGAGGTATGGCCCATATTCTAAAAAGTTTACAAACACCGCACAAATGGCCATAGCATTAGCTCTTTGAGCCTTTGGCTCAGAAGAGCTAATAAAAATTACTTCAAATAATACGAGATTTTGAATCAAAGAAATATTAATAATCTGATTTGGGATTTATTTTCAGTTCAATACAAGCGATGATTCAATATAAGCAAGTTCAATACAAGTGGAGTAAGCTGTATTCTGTTGTTTTTTTAAAAGAATTTAAAAGCTACAATGTATCTTAAGGACCATTCATGTATTAACTTGTTCCTTTGGGGATACCTTTTTAAGGGAGCTGGGTTTCTTTGCTTTAGGATTTTCTCTCTCCTTGCCTCTCTTCTGGGGTGCTGATGAGTCCAATAAATTGTGTCCAACTCCAGGCTTCTAAAACATTAAAGTTTATACATAACATTTCACAAGATATTTAATACATAAATATAGCCAGATTAAATTTTCAGCTACCATACAAGCAAACAATGCATAGCTAAGTTTGAACCTCTGCCCCACCTGAATAAAGTTTGGAGGTATAATGTAACCATCATGTCTGTCTGTGGACTTTTTTTTCTGGAGCTTAAGTCTAAAACTACTTGTCTGGAGCTTAACTCGAAAACTACTTGTCTGGAGCTTAACTCTAAACAACATTTCCCCCCAAGCTTTGTAAAATATATACCTTTTGAACTTATACGTCTGGTCAGACTGATTTGTTAAAATCATAAAAAAAAAAAAACAATGATTTTATGATGCTTTTATTGTACATAATTTCTGATTTTATTGTTAAGACCGTGGAACATTAACTGGCAAAATTGGAAATATGCAGCTTATGTCATTTTCATCGGTTACAGTCAAAACATTCAATGATAGACAATGAAATGGGCGGGTACAATTCGACACGGACGTCCGTGAAAACATTGGATTGAATTTCTAGTTTGAAATTCAATCCACCTGAGCCATTTTCAAACGCAAAGTGTGAATGTATGCTCCAAAAGACAATTTTTTTCAATTCCCAAAAACCTGTTGTTTGAAATTCATATTTATATGAGTTTTTTAGGCTATAATTTTAAGGACACGTAAAAGTAATAGAAGACAGAGATTATTTTTTCAGGGGACAGTCATATGATTCTAAAAAGGGGGGGGGAGGGGTTAAAAAAATTGTCAAGTCAGATCATGCCTTCATATGACAAGTTATTTTTATTTCTAGGATAATAAGAGCTATTTTCTTTAGTTTTGTCTTCACTGAAAAATGTTTGACAATCAAAAAAAAGGGAAGGGTTGTCCAAACTAAAAAAAAACTTTCCTTTTTATTTTCAATATCGTTCAACCCTCCAACAACCCCCCCCCCCCCAAAAAAAACACGCATATACACATACCTAACAGAAATCAAATATTTGTCCCTTTATATTTCTTTTAAAACATTGGACAGAAATTCTGATTTATATATATTTCAATTAAACCATTCCGAAATTGAAATTATTTGTCTTTTGGGTTAATCAGTAACACCGTGATTCTAGCGTAGCTGAAGTGGATTGAAAATGTATTTCAAACTAGAATTTCAATCCAATGTTTTCTTGGACGTCCGTGCCAAATTGTACCCGCCCATTACATTGTCTGTCATTCATTGTTTTGATTGTAACAGATGGAAATGACGTAAGCTGCATATTTCCAAGTTTGCCAGTTAATGTTCCGCGGTCTTAAATAGGAATGATAGGTATTCAATTCTTGTTTGGACATACTTTTGACACCAAGACCTTGAAAACCAAAGAACTTCATAGGTTCAAATTAGGAATAAAACAGAAGTATCTGACAAGACTGTAGCTCTACTGGTTTGTACTTTTAACAAAGGAAGAGAGAAAAGTAGTACTTGGGGTTGAAACTATGGCAACAGCAATAAATGGAACAATTATCCTTGGGTTAGTCTCTTTTTGTGTCAAGATTTATTGCAATCAGACTAAAATTGTAAGAGTAGTAGCCTTTTGATATAATTTCGCAGAAATTTCTATTTGTAGTAACCATTCATCAAAAAAAAAAAAAATACTACATAGAATTATATATCTTAGTGTAGTCTACTTGTGTGCTAAGTTATATTGAAATCAAACCAAAACTATTGGAGAAGTAGTCTTTTGAAAGTGTATATATTCACAGTAATTTCTATTTTTATTAACCATGGCAACACTGTTCATCAAAATCAAAAAACTGTTTTAAAAAAAATTATGTTTCTTAGTGTATTCTACTTTAATGCCAGGTTCTATTGAAATCAGACCAAACTGTACATGTAGTATGAGTAGCATTTTGAAAGTATTTCACAGAAATTTCAATTTTTTAATAGTACCCATGGCATCACCCTTATAAACTGTCGAAGAAGCAACATTTTGAAAAATTGTTTACAGATGGACAGACAGACTGACAGAAGGAAATGGACACCTTTCTATTGCATAAGCTTTTCTGGTGTGTGATCAGTAGAGCTAAAACAAAAATAAACAAGAGGCCCATGGGCCACAGCACTCACCTGAGTAACCTTGGCCTTGCTGTTTTTCACCTGATCCCCCCCCCCCCCCCGTAGTACTTATTGTGGCCCGGCCCTACCCCCAGGGGTCATGATTTGAACAATTAGAATCTACACTACCCCGGGATGCTACCACATAAGTTTCAGCTTTTCTGGCTCAGTGGTTCTTGAGAAGAAGATTTTTAAAGACTTTTTCTGCATATTTCAACGTAAAACTTGGATTACCTAATGTGGCCCAGCCCTACCCCCGGGGGTCATGATTTGAACAATTTACAATTTACACTACCTCAGGATGCTTCCACATAAGTTTCAGCTTTTCTGGCCCAGTGGTTCTTGAGAAGAAGATTTTTAAAGATTTTTACTACATATTTCAATGTAAAACTTGGATTCTCTATTGTGGCCCCGCCCTACCCCTGGGGGTCATGATTTGAACAATTTACAATCTACACTACCCCAGGATGCTTCCACATAAGTTTTAGCTTTTCTGGCCCAGTGATTCTTGAGAAGAAGATTTTTAAAGATTTTTACTACATATTTCAATGTAAAACTTGGATTCCCTATTGTGGCCCCGCCCTACCCCTGGGGGTCATGATTTGAACAATTTCCAATCTACTCTACCCCAGGATGCTTCCACATAAGTTTCAGCTTTTCTGGCCCAGTGGTTCTTGAGAAGAAAATTTTTAAAGATTTTTACTACATATTTCAATGTAAAACTTGGATTCCCTATTGTGGCCCCGCCCTACCCCCGGGGGTCATGATTTGAACAATTTACAATCTACACTACCCCAGGATGCTTCCACATAAGTTTCAGCTTTTCTGGCCCAGTGGTTCTTGAGAAGAAGATTTTTTAATGACCCAACCCAATTTTTGTATTTTCTTTATTATCTCCCCTTTGAAGGGGACTTAGCCCTTCATTTTAACAATTTACACTCCCCTTCACCCAAGGATACTTTGTACCAAGTTTGGTTAAAATTGGCCCAGTGGTTCTTGAGAAGAAGTCGAAAATGTGAAAAGTTTACAGACCGACGGACAGACAGACGGACGACGGACAACGGGTGATCAGAAAAGCTCACTTGAGCTTTCAGCTCAGGTGAGCTAAAAAAACTTGACCAGAGGTGTGTTTTGGCTCTGTACCAAGGTCATTTTATGCATTGGTCAAATGAACTATACAATTATTGCTTTTTTCAGGTCAATATGATGACAGGGCTTGGTGAAAATTGTTCTTAGAAGGTGGCTAAATCATCATACTGACTGAAAACAAGAGGCCTATGGGCCACAACGCTCACCTGAGTCAATATGGCCCTGCTGTTCTTTGTCAGCAGATTTCTTATTCTATATATTCATACGTAAAGCTTTGATCAACTGTTCTAGGCATAACCTATCCCCAGTTGCCATGTTTTGAATGAAATTGAATCTAAACTTTCTGAGGATGCTTCTATATTCATATTCAACTAATCATGGTTTTGCTGTTCTTGAAACGGAATTTTAAAGATGTCTGCCATCCTACCCTAGGGGGTAGGAAGGGAGGGGGGGTTCAAGATTTGAATAAACTTGAATCTACACTACCTTAGGATGCTTCCATATCAATATGACTAATTATGGCTTTGTTGTTCTTGAGAAGAAGATTTTTAAAGATATTTCTTATATATATTCTTTTGTTAAACTCTGATCCCCGATTATGGCCCCACCCTACTACTGGAGGATGCCTTGAACAAACTTGAATCTACAATACTTGGGGATGCTTCAATATCAAAATGACTAATCACGGCTTTCCTGTTCTTGAAAAGATTTTCCCTATTTATTCCTATGTAAAACTTTGATCCCCCATTGTGGACCCACCCTACCCCCGGGGGTCTTGATTTCGACAAATTTAAATCTACACTACCTGAGGATGATTTCATATGAATATGATTAATTGTGGCTTTGTTGTTCTTGAGAAGAAAATTTTTAAAGAATTTTCCTATGTATTCCTATGTAAAACTTTGATCCCCCATTGTGGACCCACCCTACCCCCGGGGGTCTTGATTTCGACAAATTTAAATCTACACTACCTGAGGATGATTTCATATGAATATGACTAATTGTGGCTTTGTTGTTCTTGAGAAGAAAATTTTTAAAGAATTTTCCTATGTATTCCTATGTAAAACTTTGATCCCCCATTGTGGCCCCACCCTACCCCCGGGGGTCATGATTTGAACAAACTTGAATCTACATTACCTGAGGATGATTCCATATCAAAATGACTAATTGTGGCTTTGTTGTTCTTGAGAAGAAAATTTTTAAAGAATTTTCCTATATATTCCTATGTAAAACTTTGATCCCCCATTGTGGCCCCACCCTACCCCCGGGGGTCATGATTTGAACAAATTTAAATCTACACTACCTGAGGATGATTTCATATCAATATGACTAATTGTGGCTTTGTTGTTCTTGAGAAGAAAATTTTTAAAGAATTTTCCTATATATTCCTATGTAAAACTTTGATCCCCCATTGTGGCCCCACCCTACCCCCGGGGGTCATGATTTGAACAAATTTAAATCTACACTACCTGAGGATGATTTCATATCAATATGACTAATTGTGGCTTTGTTGTTCTTGAGAAGAAGATTTTTAAAGAATTTTCCTATATATTCCTATGTAAAACTTTGATCCCCCATTGTGGACCCACCCGACCCCCGGGGGTCATGATTTGAACAAACTTAAATCTACACTACCTGAGGATGATTTCATATCAATATGACTAATTGTGGCTTTGTTGTTCTTGAGAAGAAAATTTTTAAAGAATTTTCCTATATATTCCTATGTAAAACTTTGATCCCCCATTGTGGCCCCACCCTACCCCCGGGGGTCATGATTTGAACAAACTTAAATCTACACTACCTGAGGATGATTTCATATCAATATGACTAATTGTGGCTTTGTTGTTCTTGAGAAGAAGATTTTTAAAGAATTTTCCTATGTATTCCTATGTAAAACTTTGATCCCCCATTGTGGCCCCACCCTACCCCCGGGGGTCATGATTTGAACAAACTTGAATCTACGCTATGTAATGAAGGTTTCCCATAAGTTTCAACTTTTCTGGCCCAATGGTTCTTGAGAAGAAGATTTTTAAAAGAAGACACCAAATTTTCACTTATTCTTAATTATCTCCCCTTGGAAGAGGGCATGGCCCTTCATTTGAACAAACTTGAACCCCCTTCACCCAAGGATGCTTTGTGGCAAGTTTGGTTGAAAATGGCCCAGTGGTTCTGGAGAAGAAGTCGAAAATGTGAAAAGTTTACAGACGGACGGACAGACGGACAGACGGACTACGGACAAAATGTGATCAGAAAAGCTCACTTGAGCTTTCAGCTCAGGTGAGCTAAAAACCCAGCAATAATTGTTTTATTATATGATTTATTAATTAAATGATACACATTCATTAAGCAGTTCATGCAATCTTGCTTGTTTACATTTGCTGAAGTCCTAGCCAAATGCAATGAGAAAAGCAGGGTCAAATAAACAATGTCAGTCATTTTTTAATCTTTTGTAGTTCCTGTGGGGAAAAAAATTTATCTCAGGCTCTTTTATAGGATCAATTTTGAAAATGGGGGGAAGGCATCACCGGATGTTTAAATTCACATATTAATAAACAAAATGGAGTCCTTTCCTAATTATGAGTATTGGATAGACAGAATTGTTCCTTTTGTTGTATATTTTTGATATCTTTACATTCAATGCAGTTAAGCTCCAGACTACACAGATAAGAGATCTTCCTACATTTATTTCAATGTTTATGAAAAGAGGGTTGTCAAGGATGCTTAAGTAACACATTCAAAGTTGCTTTTCTGCTTGTCAGAAAAGCCCGAGAATTTGCAAGTGGAACTTGATGAAATAGGAAATAATTTATATTTGTATCCCAATGTTTAATACAGACTGATATATTTTTATTGTACAACCTGTGCAACTTCTACATACAGTTTGAAATACCCCAATTCTCTTTGACCTCAGAACATTTGACTTTTACATTAATGTCTAGACACTCTGTGAATACCTTATTTTCCTTAGCTTTGACCTCAGAAAACTTGGTGACCTTTTGATCAACTGGTTTCTTTGCCTCTGGTTTCTTTTTCTGAAAAGTATAATAGATATTTTGCAATAAAAAGAACTAAATGACAATTAAAATATATTTGTGAACTATATATCATGATAAAATATCTTAATATGGAGAAATCTATGATTATGTTTTAAGAGAGCAATATTTGTAAACTAAATTCTTCTTCTCCCCCCCCCCCCCCCATCAGTGTTACACTCACTTCCATGCCTCCTGACTGACAGCATGTAATACATACCAAAATACTCAACCTTACACTCACTTCCATGCCTTCTGACTGACAGCATGTAATAAATACCACAGTATTCAACCTTACACTCACTTCCATGCCTTCTGACTGACAGCATGTAATAAATACCACAGTATTCAACCTTACACTCACTTCCATGCCTTCTGACTGACAGTATGTAATAAATACCACAGTGTTCAACCTAACACTCACTTCCATGCCTTCTGACTGACAGTATGTAATAAATACCACAGTATTCAACCCTACACTCACTTCCATGCCTCTTGACCGACAGCATGTAATAAATAGTACAGTATTCAACACACTTGCTTAAAAGTGAGGGAAGCATGAAGATCAAAGTTATTTTTAACTTAAATATCCTGCTGCAAGACATTTATATTCACACAATATAATTTCAATATAATTTTCAAGAGAATATTTTTTCGGGGGGGGGCAAAATCTTTTGTGCATGCTTTGTATGATAACTACCAGTATCCTATTATTAATTTATCAATTTCAACTATCTTTCTGTGAAGGTCTCACAAAATTACCTAAATGAAGTCCTTGTAAGTGAAATATAATTTAAGTATAGAAGTTAGTTCAGTAAATATCGTGTTACATGTACCAGGGTATTAAGGATGTCTTACCTCTAATGCATCAATCATAGCACTGAGATCCAGGGAGATCCCCTGCTTTGTTTTCTTTCCCATGGGTTGATTTTGAACTGGCACCTTAAGTATTCCTGGTTGTGGGCTGGCTGTCTTGGTTGACCGAGACTGACCCCCAGGAGTTGTTAAGGTTGGTGTCTGGTGACCACGAGGCTGACCCCCAGGAGTTATGGTGGGTGTCTGGTGACCGCGCCCTCGTGACTTGAGGTTTAGTTCCCTTAGCATCTGCTGCTCCAGACTGATCTCAGCTAGCTCCTCCTCTGCAGCCTGCTGTACAATCTCTATTTTTTTCCTGCGTCGTCTAGGGTTACGCACATGGTCTCCTGGAGGATCTGTAACATAATTAGATTATTTTGAATGGATTTTTCTATTATAACAAACTAGATGAAATCCCACGCAAGCCCAGGGAATTGAATTTATACCACTACCGACAAAAAAATTCCAGTTATATTGTTATTTCTACCGACAACCTACAGGCTTACAGCACGAAGAAATACTTTATTCAGAATCTCGCATTTAGCTTTGGAGCAGATGTAGATGTACATCATCCCCCATCCCCTTTTGTAAAAAATAAGAATTTCATTAACTGACATTTATTGTGAAACCTGTTATACTATGTTATGGATATTGTACTTCAGGTGCTCTTATTTCATTTCTGTCCAGGACAAAAGCAGCACATTTTAATGATAAATTGAATTTTTTTTTTTCTTTTTTTTGTAAAAATTAGGTTTTAATGCCCTATGAACAGCCCCAGTATTTGATACAAAAGACTGTATTCAGAAAAAAACTAAAATGTATTGATTAAAGCACAAAATTTTAACATTTAATTGTATTTGAACAAGACCTTATTCATTAATCTTCTCTTTTCATGTAAGCAAATTTATTACAAAGTACAAATTGTACTGAAGGTTTGTTGCCACAACGCTCTCAGTGAGGAATATACAAATTTTACCCATAAATTCATTAGGAGAACTTACTAGTAATTAAATAGTCTTTCCATATTTTAGGAATGACTCTAATTCTTGGCCAAATTATTCGAGTATAACCTGGTTTGGGTCAGTTTACGCTTTATAATCTGCGAAGCGGATTATAAAACAGCGTAAACTGACCCAAACCAGGTTATACTCGAATAATTTGGCCAAGAATTAGAGTCATTCCTTATAATTTAATTTTAAAATCATTAAATAACTATGGGTGTAAAATTTCGTTGCTTTTTATTAGTTCAAATTTGCCGCTCAATAATACAACCGTAGTAACGGAAGTGATGGGAAGCGAGGGGAGGTAAAAACTGATACATAGGCCTAGCAGCTTGTTTACATGTGGTAAGATCGAATTATTGTTTGAAGTTTAAGGTACATTTATTAAATCTGGAATTTTCCATGAATCCCGAGGACTGGAAATGAGAGGATTGTATGGATACAGATGATTCAGCTGGTTGTCAGGGGGGTGTGTCCCCATACCAAACCAGGTTATACAGAAATAATTTGTGTTCCTTTTTGGATATTAACCAATCAGGGGCTAGAATATAAACAAAATTAAATTATATAAATATATTCACAACTTACAATGTTATCAATGATTTACCATTATTTCAATGACCATATCATTCACACAAAGAGTTTCCATCAATATTAAGATTGGTGAATGACAAAAATAATTTGCACATTTCCCTTTTTAATCAGTTATCACAACTTATTTATTTCATATCATTTAAATCAAGTTTTGATTGAATAATTCTGTGATGATGTTTTATGAAATATATAAATGATTGCTTGTTGTCAGTTTCATTAAAAATTGCCAGAAACTTAGATCCACCAACTGGAAATGCAACCATACTCACGTTTTTGCTATTTCATGGCTGTTTTATAGAAAATGAAAGTAGACTTTTAATTTAATGTATGATACTTACTATGCGAGTGAAATCTGAATATAGTTTACAAACATCATCTTGTATCTAGTGTATTCATAGAGGAGTCAGTAAGAACTCTGATGCAGCCCTTTCAGAGTTTATTTGCAAAATTTATTAATTCATAAGTTAAGATGTACAGGAGTCACAATACTCAAGTGAGTCGTCTCTTCTCATAGTGAAATGGATATGATTATATAAGGACCCTTTATTGTTGAACAAGTCTACACATAGTCACAGCCACACACAGCCATGATTCTACCAGACTGGAAACTACTATACATTTATTGTCTGGGTCGAGGGAAACATGCATTCTGTCAGACCCAAGAACCAAACTGTTTGCCTGAGACTGTCAGGCCGAAGGCAGACTGTTTGGTTTGAGGGGTAGACAAAATGCAATTTGCCCGAATTTGTTTGTTTGTTGCATTATGTTATACCTTTTATTTTTTTTGACATACATGTATCTTACACATGCTGGCTTCCATGATTTAAATTTCCTTTACCTACACTAAAACACAGTCAATTCTGTTACTGTCAATGCAAGATTTAGCTTATCCCACCCACAATGTGATGGTCAAATATCTCATTGACAGGTCCAATATCTTACTCTGTGGTCAGACATTGAGACTGAGTCCCAGCTAAATTTGATGCATCCCTGAAAAATTATAAGTCCCAATAGCAATACCCTTTCACTCAAACAACAATAACAAAATCTTTATTTCAACCTACATTTTTTTATGCAATATTAAAATATTAAATGCTGAGTATAGATAATGAGAATGCACTGACCCAAGCCACATTCTAAAATACATGGCTTGCTTAATTAATTGCCATCAAAATTAAACTTGGTGTTTATAAACTAAAATTAACTGTTGCATAATCAAGTACTCTGGAAGTTAACCATATAAAAGCACAGGTGCCATGTGCATGAGGCATAACTAATCCTGTCAGTCGTCTGTACTGGGTGAAATTCACAAGATATAAATCAAGCCACATTGTGTATACAAGATGTAATTATGGTCTCAAGATAAAACATAAGATTCAAAAGTGTCTAAAACAAGAGGCCCAGGGGCCACATCGCTCACCTGAGCACTATGTCTAGGAAAAAGCATGAATTGAACAAATTTGAATCTACGTTACCTGAGGATGCTTCCATTTAAATATGACCAATCATGGCTTTGGTTCTTGAGTAGAAGATGTTTAAAGATTTTTCCTATGTATTCCTATATAAAACTTTGATCACCCATTGTGGCCCCACCCAACCCCCAGGGGTCATGTTTGAACAAACTTGAATCTACACTATCTAAGAATGCTTCCATATAAACATGACCAATCATGGCTTTGCTGTTCTTAAGAAATAGTTTTTTTTAAAGATTTTTACTACATATTCCTATGTAAAACTTTGATCGCCCATTGTGGCCCCACCCGACCCTGGGGGTCATGATTTGAACAAACTTGAATCTACTCTATCTGAGGATGCTTCCACGTAAATATGACCAATCATGGCTTTGCTGTTCTTGAGAAGAAGATATTTTTAAAGATTTTTTTTCTATATATTCCTATGTAAAACTTTGATCGCCCATTGTGGCCCCACCCGACCCCCGGGGGGTCATGATTTGAACAAACTTGAATCTACTCTATCTGAGCATGCTTCCACATAAATATGACCAATCATGGCTTTGCTGTTCTTGAGAAGAGGATTTTTAAAGACTTTTCCTATATATTCCTATGTAAAAATTTGATCGCCCATTGTGGCCCCACCCGACCCCCAGGGGTCATGATTTGAACAAACTTGAATCTACTCTTCCTGAGGTTGCTTCCACATAATTTTCATATTTTCAAGCACAGTGGTTCTTGAGAAGAAGATTTTTTAAAGATGCCATTAATTTTTTACGAATTCATAATTATCTCCCCTTGGAAGAAGGCGTGGCCCTTCATTTGAACAAAATTGAATCCCCTTTACCCAAGGATACTTTGTGGCAAGTTTGGTTGAAATTGGCCCAGTGGTTCTGGAGAAGAAGTTGAAAATGTGAAAAGTTTACAGACAGATAGACGGACAGACATACGAACAGACAGACTACAGACAAAATGTGACAAGAAAAGCTCACTTGAGCCTTCGGCTCAGGTGAGCTAAAAAGGAATGAAAAGAAAACACTACTATGTGTTGTTTACAACTATCGGAGTTTGAACTAATAAACATCAAATATCTTAAAATCAGTCATAAATTATCCCTATTTAAAATGTAGAAATACACATGTAGGTATGTTTCTGAATAAACTTCATGTAATTTACAGAAAGGTTTTGATTCAAAATTTTCAAATTTCAAAGACAACCAAATTTTTTCGCTACAGAGGACATGTCTGTAGACACATCGTTTTTAAGAACCTTGCATCCCAAATAATTTTGCTGCATCTAGTACATAGATTCTTGCATTAATGAGAACCCTGCTTGTCTCATTGTGGAGAGAGGCTAGGAGGAAATGTTCAAACAGTTTTAACTATTCCTATAATCACTGGCTCCCTAGGCCCACATATTTACTTCTTGTCCATATGAAGACACTACTCTTGTTGAACAATACATTTGTAGTACTTGTCATTAAACTTACCTCCCTTTATTTATCTTACCTATTTCTGATTTAGAGTTAAGTTCTTCTTGTCTCTTCTGGCCATTTCTTTGTGGAGAAGTCTTAGTCTACAGAGAGAAAAGCATTGAAAGTTAATTTTGTACAGTTGTGTCTTGAGAAGCAATGTTGAGAAACTTAAGCAACATAATGCAGTTCTGACCTGTGACAGTACAGAGCTGTAGGAGATGGGAGGTTGTCTCTGTGCTACGCCTACTTTACCCTGCCCAACACTTAGGTTTGGAAACTCTTCCTCATCTTGGAAGTAAAGCTCCACCCCTGGTAAATCCACCTCTGGCTTTTCCTCTGCAGTCTCTGAATTTTCTTCTTTCTTTTTCTTTCTTTTCCTTCGATTTCGTTTTCTCTTTTTCTTTCCCTCATTTCCACTTTCCTCTCCCTCAGTTTTCTTGCTCTCAGTTGGCCCCACCTCTGGCTCTGACTTCAGACTGGATTCTATCACAGGTTTGGATTGTGCAATAAAGGCATAGGAGAATATCTGTTGAGAGGCTTCCTTTTCCTTTGCTCTCAGTGTCTGATTGGTGGGTATTCTTTCTACACTTTTTCCTGCCTTTGTCTTACTGTTGTTATTCTGTTGTGTTGGGACTGGTTCACCAGGCTGAGTACCACTCGTGACCTGATTCTTTCTATGAAGTGGACTATGATACCCGCTGTCTGAGTCCTCAGAAGAGCTCCCAATCATCCTACTCTTACCCGGGCTACTTAGGTTAGGATTGAACATAGGACTTGGATATTGTGCGAGAGTTTGATTAGCAAACGTCTCTGAAAATTCTGCAATAAACAAAAAATTAATCCCTGAGGTAAAGTTCTCAGACATGCACAGTGAAACACTCATTTATCTGGACACTTTGGTTGCCAGTTAGAATCATCTGGATAGGTAAAGCATCCAGATATCTGAATTTCCTTCATTTCAGTTATATGGCCTTTCATACCAATGGCGGCAGTGAATAATGCGGAATTATATCAGTTTATATGTTTTATTGTATTATAAATATGTAAGCTCTACTATATCACATTTGTTAAACAGTACATTTGATGTAACACTGTTTATAGTCATATTAATTTCTACTGGCCAATTTCCAATGATTGATCTCCCCAAAAGCAGGAGATTTAATTTTACCAAAGTGAAAACTGTCAGTAATTTTAATTTGAATGTTCATAGTCTGACATAACTGCTCATATGTTGTAAGAACTGTATTTATTTGTAAATAATTTGTTAATAATGAAAGAACATTTGATATACGATATACAATTACATGTTATTTCCCTAATTCATACAATAGTTCACTTTCACATGTCGGTGATTGTCTTTTAAAAACCAGAATTCTCTAATGAGACTGTAGCTCTACTGATTTTTACTTAACTTAAGTAGAGAAAGTAGCACTTGGACCTGAAACTATGGAAACAACAATAAAAAAATAATGGTCTTTGGTTTAGTCTCTCTTTGGGTCAAGTTTAATTGCAATTGAGCAAAAACTGTAGTAGGAGTACCATTCTGAAAAAAATTCATAGAATCTTCTATTTTTAGTAACCATGGCAAAACAGTTCATTGAAATCAAAAAAACAATTATGTATCTTAGTGTATTTTACTTGTGTACCAAGTTATATTAAAATTGGATTAAAATTATAGGAGAAGGAGTGTTCTGAAAGAATTTCACAAAAATTTCTATATTTAGTAACCATGGCAACACTGTTCATTGAAATTATGAATTGAATAATGTATCTTATTGTAGTCTACTTGTGTATCAAAATTATATTGAAATCGGACTAAAAATGTAGGAAGAGTAGCATTTTGAAAAATTGTTTACAGACAAACAGACAGCTTAGACAGACAGACAACAGACACCGTACTATCAGTCTCTGACTAGTAAAGCTAACAAACAGACAGGCCAGTATTTTTACATCAAATAACAGATATACAGAAAGACACATGCTTGACATACTAAGATTAGGCGAGGTTAAAATTCTTAAAGTATATTTACAAGTGATATGTGTAAAACCGAAAAGTCCCATGCAAAATGCTACTTAAAACAAAACAAGTTCTTAAAAATGTTATTTATAGAAATTGTTGAAAAGAATATAAATATATATATATATATACTGTAAAAGTGGTTATTTACACTGGTTGTTAAGTACGCGTTTGTGACTGTCAAACATTACGCGTGGGTGTATTATACGCGGTCACACGAGTTACTGAGAAAAATTTACGCCGCCATCATTACTAACATCGAATTGTCCCCCTTTGAAGTGGTCAAGAAGTTTACACGCATGAATAAGAAAAAATAAATTAGAAATTAAACAAATAAAACAAAACAAAAAGAATTTATACAAGTCATCCATATGTGCATGTTCCTTGGATTGCTAAATATAACGGTGATCTGCACGGTCAAAAGCGGTGAAGTGTGAACAACTGGTGTACGCTTTATTGTAATTATTTACGCAAGCTCAAACTTCAAAGTGAAATCTACTTAGTACCTGTATCTTCGTGGCGAGTGTTGACAATTAATTTAATAGGTATGTTTGTAGTGACTGTCAGTTTGTGTAACATTTTGGACTAATTATTTGAAATTAAGAGGGATGTACTCGTACATACAAAGGAAACGAAAATGAGAGTGATGTTTTGAAGCTCTACTTGTGGGACGTTGCTCTAAAATATGTAATACGAAGATGCATTTTTCATTGCACAATTTAATTTTAAAAAATTACGTTTTCATAAATGTTTGTGATGTAATTATCTACTCACGTGCATTCAATACCACGATTGCTATATGACTGGTTCGACCGGTATATCAGTATTAGTAATAGTCTAGAATGATTCCACAAAGCTTTGAAATTTTGTGATTGACCATACGCGTGGGGGTATTTTACGCAGCTCTAAGCTTACTGCATAAGTAGTGTAAATTTCCCCCACACGTAAATAACCATTTTTACAGTAAAGGAGGTCTGATTAATTTATTTCAATACTCCTCTTCTTTGTTTATATTTGTAAACGATCTCAAAATTAACCAATATTGTAAAAAGGTTCTTTCAAGCTGCCCTATATTCTTTATCAGATGCTATACAAACAAATCATATTCTTTTGCAAATTTTGTGTTGAACTCTATCACAAGTTATGAGAGCTGAAATGCTGAATGTATCTTTTATGTGATACCTGTCTGTACAGCTGTGTCCCTCATCTGGACTGACAGTTGGCTGACAGTTGTCTCCTCCTGCCTGGCTCCACCACTTTTGATCCTCTCCCTCTTCTTACTCCTCAGGCTTACTTTTGAGTCCTCTCTCTGACCATCACTGGTATTACTCTTACCAGAGCTGTTTCGACTTCTCTGAATGAAACAAATATTTGTCTCTGATTCTAACTAACAGATAACAGACCAAGTTAGAACTGATTAAAACTAGAGGTACTGAGAGCACTGAGCTCACCAAATGACACCCCCGCCTCCCATATGATAATAATGGCAAAGTACATACTTTGCTATGAGATACCTGAAACAAGTGTCAGATCAAAACGTAAAACAGGAGATACCGGTACACAACGGCACTATGTAATAAAGATTCTGTAAAAGTATCATTAAATTTTATTCAGTGGTATAAGAAGAGTTGAGTATAAGAGATGAGTACACCCTCACTATTATAGAAAGAATATTAATAGCAGTGTATATGTTTTGCTACTGGAATCTAAAATATGTGTCCAATCAAAAAGTAAAATAGGAGGTCACAATGGCACAATGTAACAAAGATTCTGTGAAACTCTCATTAAATTTCATTCTGTGGTATAAGAGGAGTTGAGGATAAGATGGGTACCCCAAACGGACCGACAGACAGACACATACACTCCCCACTTTTCAAGCGGAAAGGGGTACAATAAAACTAGAGGTACTGTGAGCACTGAGTTCAAAAAATGATATCCCTCGCTTCCATATGAGTATAATGGCAAAGTCCATTGTTTTGCTATGAGAAACCCTAAATGTTTGTAAGAGCAAAATATACAAGAGGCCCAAGGGCCTTAACGGTCACCTGAGTATAATACAACAATTTAGAGGATCCATAGAGTATAAAATGAACTGAAAGGTGAAGCTTTGTTGCCCAAAAGCAAGAAAAATAGAGTGATCAGGATCAAAAAAATAATTAGTCTAGCATTCATTAACAGTTCATAAATTAGGTTCTAATCTGTTCCCCATTTAACACTTTCACCATACAGTATATTAACAAACTATCACTGCTTCTGTACTATCTTAATTCCTTGTTGAAATCTCTTACATTGGCCTCTCTTGATCTTTGATGAACATTTAATAAGACAAGTTATTTTTGTCTCATTTTTATTTATCTATTACTTACAAGTCTACCTGATCATTAAAACTATGAAAGTACTTTTTGTATTATAAAATAAAAATTCTTGCATAATTCTCTTATTCTATTAACCTTTCAAGTACATTATTTACAGTGATTAATTATCAAAAGTAAATGGCAAAGGGGAATAACTCCTCTCAGTAGATTACAAATTAATAGTGCCCTAGCTAGGACCAGAACACTTGACTAAATGGTCCAGATGTTCAAATATCTGGTAAAAATACCCTTCCTTATTAAAACTTTTACTCTTTTTGCCTCTGATATGCCCAGGTGCAGAGAAGATTTTTAAAGAAATAATGCATTTTTACTACAGATTCACTATATTATCAATAGAGCCCCCCCCCCCCTCCCCATCGAGAAACACCAGAGCCTCTCACCCTGGGACCAGAAGTTTGCACATCATAAGTAATCACTTTGTTTATCTGCTTAACACTGAGGAGCAGACAGGATTATTTAATAGAATTAATGCATTTTCACTATATTATCAAGAGCCCCACCCTTACACCAGCACATCTGACCTAGGGGTCATGCAATTCACTACTCTGGAAGAAGCACTCTTGCTCATCATAACTATACACTAGCTTCTTTGCTTTTTAACAAGAAGCAGAAAAGAATGTTTTCAGAGAAATTTTGCTTTTTCACTATATAATCAATAGAGCCCCCCCCTTTTTTTTCACCAGAACCCTTGACCCTGGGGCCATGAAATTCACAATTTTGGAAGAGGCATCCTTGCATATCATAACAATGTACTTATAGTTTGTTTAAATAATACCCAGGGGCAGAGAAGAAGAGTTTTAAAGAAATAATTCACCTTCACTATAGGATCTATATGGCCCCACCCTAGCACCAGAACCCCTGTCCCTGGGGCCATGAATTTCATAATTTTGGAAGAGGCATCCTTGCTTATCATAACAATGTACTTAATTTGTTTAAATAATACCAAGGAGCAGAGAAGAAGATTTTTAAAGCATTAATGCATTTTCACTATATAATATATAGAGCCCCACCCTAACACCAGAACCCCTGATCCAGGGGCCATGTAATTCACAATTTTGGAAGAGGCATCCTTGCTTATCATAACTATGTATTTAATTGGTTTCAATAATACCCAGGAGTAGAGAAGAAGATTTTCAAAGAAATAATGCACTTTCACTATATGATCTATATAGCCCCGCCCTAGCACCAGAACCCTTGACCCTGGGGCCATGAATTTCACAATTTTGGTAGAGTCACCCTTGCTTATCATAACTATGTATTCAATTTGTTTCAATAATACCCAGGAGCTGAGAAGAAGATTTTTAAAGAAATAATGCACTTTATATGATCTATATAGCCCCGCCCTAGCACCAGAACCCCTGACCCTGGGGCCATGAATTTTACAATTTTGGTAGAGTCACCCTTGCTTATCATAACTATGTATTCAATTTGTTTCAATAATACCCAGGAGTAGAGAAGAAGATTTTCAAAGAAATAATGCACTTTCACTATATGATCTGTAAAGCCCCGCCCTAGCACCAGAACCCCTGACCCTGGGGCCATGAATTTCACAATTTTGGTAGAGGGTTCAATGCTTATTACAATCGTGTCAACAGTTTGACTGCTTGATGTCCAGGAGTAAAGAAGAAGATTTTTAAAGATTGCATTAATTTTGGTGGTTTTAGCCCCACCCCTCAGGCCCCAGGGGGGCAGGGACCATGAAATTCACAATTTTTGTCCCCCCCCCCTTACCCACAGATGCTATATGCCAAAATTGGTTGAAATTGGTTGAGCGGTTTCAGAGAAGAAGCTGAAAATGTTTAAATGTTAACGAACGACGCACGATGGACGACGGACAAAAACGGATAGCAATAGGTCACCTGAGTGACTCAGGTGACCTAAAAATAGGAGGTCACAATGGTCCTTTGTAATAAAGATTCTGTGGAAGTCTCTTTAAATTTTATTCAGTGGTAATGGAGGAGTTGCAGATAAAGGATGGGTATCCCCTATATTCTAGAAAGAATAGCAGTGTCCATTTTTTGCTTTGAAGAACCACAAATATCTCTCCCAGCTGAACATAAAATAGGAGGTGCAGAACGGGACTATGTAATAAAGATTCTGTGAAAGTCTCTTTAAATTTTATTCAGCATTTCGAATAAGAGATAGGTACCCCTAATACCATCAGAAGAATGGTAGTGTCCATGTTTTGCTACGGGAACCTCAAAATATCTCTCCGACTAGAAGAAAAATAGTAGGTGAACAATGACACTTTGTATAAAAGATTCTGAGAAAGTCTCAAAATAATTTTATTCAGCTGTATCAGAAGGAGTTGGGGATAAGAGATTGGTACTTAAATATGTTATAGAAAGAGTGACTGTGCCTATGTTTGGCTAAGGTAAACCCTAAATATCTGTCAGATTGACATGTAAAATAGGAGGTGCATAAAAGGACTATGTAATAAATATTACCTAAAAGCCCCATTAAATTTTATTCAGTGGTATAGGAGAAGTTGTGGATAAGAGATGGATGCCCCAGTGTTACACACATACATAAGGATGTACAGATGGAGGGAAGAATGGACACCCCATCACTATATAGCCCTGACTTTTCAAGTGAGGGGTATAATAACTTGATTAGATATGCTCTTGACTGCTTACAGTGACTTATGACTGCTTACAATGACTTACGATGGCTTATTATGACTTATGACGGCTTAAGATGACTTATGATGGCTTACGATGACTTATGATGGCTTACGATGACTTATGATGGCTTACGATGACTAATGATGCTTACTATGACTTATGATGGCTTACGATGACTTATGATGGCTTACGATGACTAATGATGGCTTACTATGACTTACTATGACTTATGATGGCTTACCATGACTAATGATGGCTTACCATGACTTATGATGGCTTACTATGACTTACTACTACAGCTGTGTACATTACCTGATTCCGTCTCTTTCCTTCACTGCCACTCCCCCTTCTCTGTTCCCTCCTGTCTGTGTGCCCTGCTTTACTCTCCCCATCATGAGGGGACCAGGCAGGTTTAGCTGGCACCCTAGGTGAATCTTTCTGCAGGAGTTCCTTGTCCTGATTGAAATGCACATCTGGTGGTGGGAAATTTAAGAAATTCATAGGTGGAACAGTGGTAGGGGGCATAATCCATGTATTATCTAGGGGAGGGGGAATGCTAGGATTAAAATTCTGAGGCCCAGGCATCCTGTTCCCAAAGCCTGAAAAATAAACAAAACACATACACATCATAAAATTGTAACCCAGAAGTCTCTGATGAGACTGTAGCTTTAAGGTTTGATTGTGATTTAATTATTAAGTATTGGAGAGATCTTGCATTGTATCATTTCTTTCTAAGTTTCATGCTTATCTGTTTTTTACTGGCAAAAAAAAAACATGCTAATATACTTTATGTGTATAAGACATGATTATGATGATGAAAATCTTATTTCAATTGGTAATCACACCATCACACTGTGGTTTGCTTATTGAGCTTCACAATTTGTTAGTTCTAAGATACATATGGTTTAAAATACAAATTGGTTTCTAAATTTGGATGAAGATTTTATCTTTCAACATGTTTTATGTGAAAAATACAAATTTATTAGCTAAAATTACAGTACTACAGAAATCTACCACATACATGGAAGTAAAGCTCCAGTAATCATATCCTAAATTTGATTAAACTAGTTCAAAATGAAGAATACTGCAAATTTGAATGAAGTTAACAGATAACTATAAAATCACATTTTTGTGGGGTCAAATTTTCATGGTATGAGGAACAAGAGGCCCATGGGCCACAAAGTGCTCACAAATAACTGTGGTTCTTGTTCATCAGCAGATTCTTTTTCCTATATATTTCTATATAAAATTTGATCACCCATTGTAGTCCCACCCTATCTCCAGGGGTCATGATTTGAACAAACTTGAATCTACACTATTTGAGGATGCTTTTTTTTATAAATATGACAAATCATGACTTTACTGTTCCAGGGAAAAAGATTTTTTCTATGTATTCCTAGTATGTAAAACTTTGATTGGCCATTGTGGCCACACCCTACCCACTGGGATCATGATTTAAACAAACTTGAATATACAATACCTGCGGATTTTTAGATGCTTCCATATAAATATGACTGATCATGGCTTTGCTGTTCCTGAGAAGAAGATATTTACAGACATTTTCTATGTACATGTATTTCTATGTAAAACTTGACCATTGTGGCCCCAACCCTTCCCCCAGGAGTCATAATTTGAACAAACCTGAACATAAAGGTTTATCTATCTGTGGATGCTTACATATAAAAATGACTGATCATAGTTTTGCTATTCTTCAGAAGACGATTTTTATTAAAGATTTCTCCTTTATATTCCTATGGAAAACTTTGATCTCCATTGCAGCCCCACCCTATACCCAGGGGTCATTATCTGAACTTGAATCTACACAACCTGAGTATGCTTTTAACACCCTGTAAAGGCGCACATGTTGGGTTTCGGTTATGTATCATAAGGGGTTTCAACTCCAAAGCGGTGGTTTTTTGCATGAAGCGGATATATTTGTAAAAATTCGTTGCTAAAGAATTCGTATGGACCAAATGACATGCACACGGGTTGTAAGTATGTATTAGCTTCAAGTTTAGTGCAGTAGTTTGTTTGGAAGCATTACAGATTATGCTAACACTTCTGGACAGTTCAGTCGACTGGAAAAAGTTGTGATTTCGCTGTCATTCTTTGCTCTTTAGTTTACAAAAATGGCCGTTTAAAGCTCATTTTAAGGATGACAGATAAAGACTGATACAAAAACTATCCGTGCGAACTTTTCTATCTTTTAACAATCTTAATTTCTTTAAGAAATATAAACTTTTGTGGCCAAATTCTACTGTGCCTAACAGGGTTTCAAAGTTGGGCACAAAAGAGGGTTTCAACTCAAGGACTTTTTCTATGTTTTAATCCTTGTTTTCTTTCAAGAATATAGATTCCTGGTTCATTCATCACAAAAAGTGAATGACCATGTGGAAGGCAAAAGTGTGTTTGTTGTCACCTGTGTGCAACCTTGGCTTTCCTGTTCTTGAGAAGAAGATTTTTAAAGATTTTTCCTTTATATACCCATTGTATCCAATTACAACAATTACAAAAAGAGACAATGGACAAATTTCAATCAGGAAATTAAACAATAGATAGCAGCCATATGGACAACAGTAGACATTTTACCATCACTTAAATTACTTAAATTCTACTGTGTTGTGCTAAAAATTAAACAACTTATACAACTTTTAAAATTTTCTTTTTCAATTTTCTACAAATGTAACATTTTATCAAAACTAAAATTAAGAGCATATATATAACAAGTATTTCACTGTCTGTGTTGAGTACCTGGATAACTTCTAAGAAACCTTTGGTTGCTAGGTCGTGGAGAGGGTCCTAAAAAGGGCGGAGGTGATCTACCATGTCTACCCACATTCCTCTGTCTGGAAGAAAAGCACAAAACAATTTTATTATTATTATTATTAACATAATTATTGCTTAGGCCAATTTCAAAAAATTGTTTGTTTGCCCTCTCCTAACCGACTGGCTAAAAATGGCCAGACGCAAAACTTTTTTAACCTCAAGGAAACGACAATCTTTTTTTTTCCTGACTTTTTCATTCCGTCAATATGTGTTGAAATTCTATACATTTTCTATATATATATGCAGGACTCCAAAGTTTGGTGAGACCATCGGACTTTGGCGTCACCATCGGACTTTGGAGTCTTACATACACACACATATATATGTATATATATATATATATATATATATATATATATATATATATATATATATATATATATATATATATATATATATACATATACCTGCAAAAAATGTTAACCTGATCACTCATCAACTGTAAAATCTTAATCATCTGCAGCATCAGAAATATAATCTTACTGCACATCTACAACCTCGGCAATGCTTCGTGTATCTCATTACAGAATCCAATTCTTAATACCTAAAATGTACTAAAAATTCTCATGACAAACAGTTTGGTTCCTGAGTTCAACAAAATGCAAGTTACCCTCAAACTCAGTCAATAAATGTATGATAATACACCAGACTATCTTGAACCTCTGTGGAGCCCTGGGGCTGACATTTAAATTTCTGCAGGGCTCTATATACAGATTTTTTTTTTTTTGGATAGAAGAACATTTAAATAAACAAGGAATACAATATACTTCCCTCAAAATCATCTATCTTGGTTAGCATAAAAGAGCTATATGTGGTATATGCATATTTTTGCCCCCACAAATGTCAAATTTTGAATATTTCTTAAAATATGCTCAATTATGTGTACTGTATTGTATGAAAAATCTGAATCAACAAAAAATTTATAGTTTCAAAGAAGGATATTGGCAATTTTTGTTTCTATGACATCACAAAGTATTTTGGAGTTATGTTATTTTTCAGAAAGAGAACAAAATAGACAAAATTTGTTCAATTTTTCCTACAGTCGAGCCTCATTTATCCAGACACTTTAGTTCCTAGTCAAAGTCATCTGGATAGGTGAAGCATCCAGATACCTGAATTGCATCGATTTTATTTATAAGCCATTGGGCTTTCATATCATTGGCAGTAGTGAAGAATGCTGCATTATATCAATGTGACAGTTTTATAGTTTAAATATTAACTATACATTAGCACTAATAAAAAACTCTTGTTTAGATAAAATTAACCAAGAGACCCATGGGCCACAACACTCACCTGAGTAACTTTGGCCTTACTGTTTTTCACCTGATTTCTCCCCTTGTAGTACTTATTGTGGCCCTGTCCTACCCCCAGGGGTCATGATTCAAACAATTTAGAATCTACACTACCCCAGGATGCTGCCACTTTAAGTTTCAGCCTTTCTGGCCCATTGTTTCTTGAGAAGAAGATTTTTAAAAATTTTTACTACATACTTCAATGCAAAACTTGGATTCCCTACTGTGGTCCCGCCCTACCCCTGGGGGTCATGATTTGAACAATTTAGAATCTACACTACCCCAGGATGCTTCCACAAAAATTTCAGCTTTTCTGGCCCAGTGGTTCTTGAGAAGAAGATTTTAAAGATTTTTACTGCATATTTCAATGTAAAACTTGGATTCCCTATTGTGGTCCCGCCCTACCCCCGTGGGTCATGATTTGAACAATTTAGAATCTACACTATCTCAAGTTGCTTCCATATAAGTTTCAGCTTTTCTGACCCAGTGGTTCTTGAGAAGATTTTTTTAATGACTCACCCCAATTTTAGTCTTTTCTTGATTATCTCCCCTTTGAAGGGGGCTTGGCCCTTCATACTAGCAATTTAAACGCCCCTTCACCCAAGTTTGGTTAAAATTGGCCCAGTGGTTCTTGAGAAGAAGTTGAAAATGTGAAAAGTTTACAGACGGATGGATGGACAGACAGACGGACAGAAGGAAGGACGACGGACAATGGGTGATCAGAAAAGCTCACTTGAGCTTTCAGCTCAGGTGAGCTAAAAAGTGCATTGTCACTGAATGAAATGTTGCTTATATGGTCACATTAATTTTTTCTGTTTCCCAGTTTCTAATGAATAAACTTCCCATAGCCAACTGTCTGTAGAGCTGGTAGAGAAACAAACTGTTGATAAACTTAGTATGAATGCTATCTATGCATGCTAAATGTGACTTATATGTAACTGCACATGTATTAGTGTTGTACCGATAATCAGAAAACATCGATTGTCGATGAAAAAATGCTACCGATTCCGATGATCGATTATAATTTTTCACAATCGATCATCAGAAACATACTTCTAATACAATACATTCCGGAATTATCCATTTCTGGTTTAAAATTTATTTCTTCTTAGTGAAAGAAAATGGCGTCTGCATCTGAAACTAGCCAACTAGCATGAAGCAGAGGTGATTAAGAACCGAAAGGTGCATATATAGGGACTAAAAAAATTATGTTTGTTTCCTATAACCCAACCAATCCATTCAATTTACCCCCAGGTGGATTTTTTTCCTGCCAAATCTGTGTTTGCTCTTTGGTTTGATCAATCAGCTGATTCTTTTTATTCAAAGTATCTTTTATTTGAGGTATAAAATATGCAACTTAGTCAACATTTACCTTAAATATAAAGAGTAATCAATTCTCTCCCCCCCCCCCCCCCCCCACAACTTTTTGAAGTTTGTTTTCTGCCACTAGGCAGCCATGTTGGGTATCCACTGTAAATATTACACCTGAATAATTCAGTCCCGGTTTGTTTGACTCCCTGTTATTCATAAGCAAAAAAAAAAAAAAAATTCCCAACCTACCTATACCCTTGATTCTTTGGGAATGTTACAGGAAACAAACAAACATATTTTTTTTTAGGCCTAGAAAGTGTAAAAGAAGCAAAACAACAAAGAAAATAATATATTATATATTTTATATATTCATGGTAAAGAAATAATATGAAAAAATTGTAATAGTCTGTTTTTTTTGTATACAAAACTATGAAATCCGATTATAATCGGTAAAATCGCATCGGAAGCAGTAACCGATTCCAACCGATGATCGATTATGAAAATTAACCAATGTCCCATCACTAACATGTTTACTTATGCTACTCACCCCAAGCGAGACCACATTAGTGATTGTGAAATTTTGAATGTGATCTTATGTCATCAAATTACAGAATCTGTTTTGCATATAAAATACTGTGCATAAAAAACTCTTATGTAAGTAGCAATACATGAAACCATGTTACAACTGTATTCTAACAGTAAATGAAATATATTTGCCGATTAGAAAAATTTACTGACATATAGAATTATTTTCCTTACTAAATATGTATCAAATTAATGTCAGAAGTGAGAGTCTCATGTGTAGCTATTGAAACCTATAATTAACCTTGCAGCAAGTCATTGATAACAGGTCACAGGTGATCATCTTTTAAAACAAACAGTCAGGCTAGTGTTTTTACATCAATTAATACCCAGCTCAAAAAATCTGAGCAGAATTTACAGACCAAATAAAAAATTACTGTCCAGATAAATTAACCAAAATACAACATAACATTCATTTTGTGGTGAAAAAAGACAGTCCACACATGGAACACAAAATTCTGGATAAATGAGACAAAATAATGTTAAAAAATTCGGTTCCCATGAAAAATCGCCTGGAAGCTGAAGTGTCTGGATATCTGAAGGTCCACTGTATATAATTTATAGAACGCTCCATGTTAATATTCACATATTTCATTGATATTATCATTCTACACATTATTTGAAACCACTGAGTTGGAGCAAACCTGCGCTTGGTGACTTTTACTCAAAATATCGATGTAACAGACAATTCTTTCTCTGTAAATCATGGAAATTTTGAATTTAGGTCATTTTCATGATGTTATATCTAACCTTTATGACATCAAGGCTGAGTAATATATTTAATGCTTTGAAGTCTGCAAATATCTCCCTATTTTAGAATGAAATTATATATTTATTCATCAAATTTTGATTTGGGAGGCAAATATTGGTCATTATTGAATATAGTCCATTTTTAATAAACCTTTAAAATTGATACCTTTATAAATCTATATTAAAATAGTCTAACATACTAATCAGTCAAATGAATTTGATATAAGACTGCTTGACGAGATGTTGGACCTCTAGTGAGATGTTTGACCGACTGGGAGATGTTTGACCTGCTGGTGAGATGTTGGACCTAGGGGTGAAACGATACACCTCCTTCACGGTTCGATACGTATTGTATAATTTTGTCTCGGTTCGGTTATTTTCGATACGATACATTTTGATAGAAGGAAACAAATTCAACGTTGTTTTATGCTTTCTTTTTCAAAATCTAGTCACATATTTTACGAATTTTATTTGCAAATTGACAAGAAGAAATTGACTAAAATTAATTGACTGTCAAAAATTATTTTACAAGCTATCAGTCATCAAAAATTTACGTTTTCTATACTTATTTATACTGAGTAACGTGTTTTACCTTATGCCAAACCCGACTGAATAACGATCCCGACCAAAAAATGAACCGAACCGAAAATTAGAGATTTTGCACCGTGTATCAAACCGAGAAAAAATACTGCGGTGAATCGATACCGCGGTGAACCGTTTCACTCCTAGTTGGACCTACTGTGTCACAGTCAGATGTTGGTCCTACTGTGTCACAGTGAGATGTTTGACCTGCTAGTGAGATGTTGGACCTATTGTGTCACAGTGAGATGTTGGACCTGCTGACGAGATGTTGGACCTACTGTGTCACAGTGAGATGTTGGGCCTGCTGGTGAGATGTTGGACCTACTCTGTCACAGTGAGATGTTGGGCCTGCTTGTGAGATGTTGGTCCTACTCTGTCACAGTGAGATGTTGGTCCTACTCTGTCACAGTGAGATGTTTGACGTGCTGGTGAGATGTTGGGCCTTCTCTGTCACAGTGAGATGTTTGACCCACTAGTGAGATGTTGGTCCTACTGTGTCACAGTGAGATGTTGGACCTACTGTGTTACAGTGAGATGTTGGGCCTGCTGGTGAGACATTGGACCTACTGTGTCACAGTGAGATGTTGGGCCTGCAGGTGAGATGTTGGACCTACTCTGTCACAGTGAGATGTTTGACCTGCTGGTGAGATGTTGGACCTACTGTGACACAGTGAGATGTTGGACCTGCTAGTGAGATGTTGGACCTACTGTATCACAGTGAGATGTTGGACCTGCTAGTGAGATGTTGGACTTATTGTGTCACAGTGAGATGTTGGTCCTACTCAGCGCTAGAAATAATTGTTTTTGTTTACTAGTTATTCGGGCTATCGTCTTAAATTTTTACTGGTCAGCTTAGTACTTTCACTGTCCCACTGGGCCAGTAAAAAGGACTGGCTCAAAACCATACTAATAAAAGTAAAAAAAAAAATCATATTGTGATACTTAGAAGTACAACTTAACAAAACAAGAAACAGCAGAAGTTGGGACACACAACCCTGTCAAGTTAACTAGCCCGACTGTGAATGAATTTTATTATGCATAAAAAAAATGCTGACCCAAAGGGCACATGCCCTCTGCAGATTGAAAATTCACTGGCCCCAGACCAGCGGGTCATCAATTATTTCGAGCCCTGCTACTGTGTCACAGTGAGATGTTGGACCTACTGTGTCACAGTGAGATGTTGGTCCTACTGTGTCACAGTGAGATTTTGGTCCTACTGTGTCACCTTGAGATGTTGGTCCTACTGTGTAACAGTGAGATAAAAGAAGTCCTAGCTACATTTGTAGTCCAAAGCCTATTGTGCAAATTAAAACTTTATACACAGATCTTAATGTCTTACCTGTCTGAATCCACAGGCACAAAGGGATAGCAGTTAGTTATGTAGGATGGAATCTGTTCAATATGCAGAGTTCCATCTATTGAGAATTGTCTAGGGACAAATACTGCAGCATCCGGAGACAGAGCTTGACTAATACCCTGAAATATAGTTATAACAACTAATCATCAGCATCTGGAGATGGTGCTTGACTAATACCCTGAAATATAGTTATAACAACTAATCATCAGCATCTGGAGATGGTGCTTGACCTATCATTTACAGCCTAGCCAAATAAATTTTGACTCACTTGTTTATCATTATTAAAATAAGTTGTTTCTTTATTGTAATTCATTAGACCAGCGTACTAGCTTATTGACAGTACATGCATTCTGTCCTTGATTCTAATGGGTCTAGGCTATCATTACTCTCTATCCCAGAAATAGGACTTATAAGTTTGCATGTTTGAAGTCTAAATGAATATAACATCCCTTGGAAAACAAGCTAATTCAGGGATGTTGTGTCTCCCACTCAAGGGAAAAAAGGAAAAAAGCGTGGAAGACTTGAAAAAAAAAATGTTGATGGAAAAAGAAAAAATAATTGAACTTGACCTTTAGCTTTGAAAGTCGGCTTGGCCAAGATCAGGTGCCCATTTCCAACTAAATGAAGTTACATAGATGTAACTCTTTATAGTTACATCTAATCTAAATGTCTTCTATTGCATTGCAAAGATCAGAATGAGAGCTTTCCATTGGTATATAATATCATATATATAGTATCTGCATTTTTGAAAAAACAACAGAATAAAGTCAAAGATTCATAATTTTTGAAGCGTTATGCTGTTGCACTTGATTTTTTACATTTTAAATAATGGTTAATTAAAATTATTTTGAATGAAACATTCCAAAATAAATGTACTTTATTATAGAGAAATCATTCTGGTTAAGTTTATTTTTTACAGAAAAGAAAAGGGATAAAAATTGTGGAAATTATGAATAAATGTGTGCAGATACACCTTTGTTATATAATTTAAGATTTGAATAAATGATTAATTTCTATCAAAAAAAAGAGCAAATATAATATGTTTAAAATTTTTATTTAACTTAAGAAAAAAAGTACTATGAGAAAAATATAGTGGTTATAGTGAAAATGTGTGTGCATTTTATATTTTATTTTCCATACTGGTCTAATATTTTGTATAGTCCGTAGCCCCATATTTCATTATAGTTTGTGTTCAACAAAAGAATGTAGAATTAGTCATGCTCTTGTTAAACATTTTCACAGTTACTAGTAAAGAAAAAAACAGTAATGAATAGCTTTTGCGCTAACACCAAAAGAAGTTATAGAAGAATGATTGGTGTCCGTAGCCCTGTATAGTCCGTAGCCCCAATATAATAAAATCCAGAAAAAGTCGTATACATTATTGATACAATAATTACAATACAAAAATATGTTTATTCGAACAAATGCAATGTTTTAAAATACAAATACTACTCTAATTAAAAATAAAATATCTGAAAATTAACATTTTTCAACTAAAGGCTTGCTTCTCTAGTCTGTCCTGTTATGTTTGTGGTCACAACATATTTCTAATTAGGCCATACCAATTTCTAATATAGTTCGTCGGATTCGCCGCTTCTATTTACAACAAATCCAAATTATAATATTATAAAAAAAAATCCGTGCGCGCGTCCAAAAATATCTGTATACAATTTTTTTTCCCGACTTTTTACACAAAACGCACAAAAGAATTGGAAACTTGTTTGACAGAAGTGCGGGACTTAGAATGTTTGTAACAGTTTGTGAAGTTTTGCACAATGCCTGTGTAACGTACTGTTCGTATGTACCAGGGGTGAGCAATTAGCATCTCCCGACTCCCGGGGCTACCATTTTTGCGGGTCGGGCTAGTGGTTTTCTGCAAGGAGGAAGCCCGTCGGGCTAGTAAAAAATTTAACTACACACGCAATACATGACAAGCATAATCGGTATTTTCACTCATTTTTTTGCTATAAAATTCCCAACCAGTTAAAATTTTCCAGACAACATGCTCCGACTGTCAATAAATCTCCATAATCTTATCTGTTTTACAGTTCTATCTAACTATTTACTTCCAAAAACGATCGTTTTTTCCTAATCCGAATTTCCTCTATTCCTCCAATTATGGTAAATACATGCAGATATCTCATTAAATTATTAACGATCACTCAATCAACTGAAAAATAAGTGTTTTGTGACTTACATTAAATATATTTCTAGTGTATTTAATGATTTAAGATGAAAACAAAATGAATATAATTTCATTCTAAATGAGCTAGTGCAATGATCAGAAAAAGGAAAGATAATTTACTTAAGTTCATTTTAATTTTCTTTCATAATAATTTATACATGATTTATATTGATAGTGAGAATTTTTAACTTTAATTTTAAAAAGAATGACCTCAGTACCCTGACTTTTTCAGCAATTAATTTCTTCTCAACATTAATTAGTATTTATTTAATTTTTGCCCCTCTATTTGGGCTAGTAACTTTTAACTTGGGGCTAGTAACTTTGATTGACTTACTTGATTTTTTTTTTTATTGCACACCCCTGTGTACTATAGTTAAAAACAATGGGTACAAAGTAGTTCCATACACAGCAATAGAAATGGAAGCATAGGAGACGTTTGAAGCTTTGTTTGATGAAACAATAAAGAGAATATCATCAACCTATGAAAAATACACACAAGGTTAAGTAAATATTGACCATATTTGTTCAATAAAAATTAAAGAAAATTCAAAAAGCGATGCAATTGTGATTTTGAAACCTGACATGACCTTAACAATTTGCAAAGAATTAAACAGAAAATTTGTAGAAATGAAACTACATCTAAATTGCAATGTTACGAGAAACAAAAGAAAGACACGTTTTCACATCTTATGAGTGCAGAGAAAACGTTTTCTCTCCCAGAAAAAAAATAATAGGAAAAAGAGGAGAACTTAGAAAATTTTGCCACCTATATTAATTATATTCGCTCGCCTCATAATTTTGAAACCCGAAATGAAAAATAATATTTGTAAAATTATTTCGCTCGCTCGCCTCACTTTTTATTTTTCAAAATCCGAAGAACTATTTTACAAATTGGTGTGGCCTTATACATGATAAAGTTTTCCTTCTTGTGACAGGGATTTTTTTAGGGTCTCTCTGGGGCCGAAATTCGGCCCCATTCCCAATGCTGAAAAGTGCATGTTTTTCCCAAAATCATACCTAAAAATTCCCAATATGAAAAAAGTATTAAGTTGTAAATTATTAAAATAAAATAATGACAAAAATGTGTTTATGTTCTCTATGTGCGATGTACAGCCATCCGAGGGCTTCCGAGAAGTTATTCAGAATACTACGGATGTTTGCATGCATACTTTTTAAAGCGGGATCGATGTTTAAAAATTAAAGTCGGGATAGTTATCTAAAACATAAACGTGCATCATGTCAGTCTCTCCAGTTTGCCTAAGACGGTAATTTTCAGGCTGGGTTGAATCGCTCTTTTTCTTATAAATTGGTCAAACAATACCGATTAACCACTCATCTGGAACAAACCCACTATCAAATGTTATTTTAAAGAACTTCTTACATAAAGGTAAAAAAGATGACAATATAAATATGTTCATTTACGATGTTATCATACCCTGCGGCTTTGCCATTTTTAAGCTTCTGAACTTCAACAGCCGCTATTATTTCATATCACTAAAGTTGGTTTAAGCCAGCTTTATACTATAAAAAATAAGAAAAATGATTAAATATTTGACTTTTGCTTGTTTTTTCCTATTTATTTGTATGAAGATATTTTTCCCAATTTCAACCAAATATCGCTATTTTTCCCAATCTTGACGGCCCCGGCCCCTGGAATCAAAGGGTAAAAAAATTCTTGTGTGATGCATACTATCAATCCATTTACAATGATTAGCATTGGAATATTTTTAAAAAAATATTTAGCCACACAAATCCTACTTACAAAAGGGCTACGGACTCTACAAATAAATGTAGCAAATTTACAGACCATATAACCGTCCTTCTGTATTAGCAAGAAATTTTTTTTCCTACTTGTATCTACTGCAAAATGGGGATTCAATTCATGGTTCATTAGTTCTCATCGATCAGTCTTAAAATCCCATTGTGGGATTTGTGGGATTTGATCCCAAAACATAAGGATCAACTCCTTACTTTGCAATATTTAGTACAAAGTGAGGCCTTCACTCTTATAATTACGCCACCTAATCTACTTGTCACTGAATTGTTAATTTTAAAAAAAAAGCATTGATTCTTTATGGGTAAATATTGTACTATTATGTTTTTTACTTCAAATGGTCAATCATGTTTGCAATTTATTTAATTTTTTTTTTTAATTACACCATATGATTATGATAAATTATATACATGTACTGATACAACTTTTGAATTACCATCTTGAGTTATATGCATTACATTAAATCGAAAAAAAATATGAAGCAATATAGTCCGTAACCCCCCCCCCCCCACACACACACACACACACACAAAACATGCCTTAAATTGATTTAATTTCAGCTCCTGTTGCTTTTATTCATTATAGTTTGAACTAGAATTTCATTTGGCATTGAAAGTACATAGTACTTAAGACAATTGATTTTTAAGTATGGTATTATAAATACTCAAACTAAGTGGTGTAAACTGTTATAGAAAACCAATTAATAAAAAAAAATTGCCCAAAATTGAATTAAACAATTACATTTTCTTCAAGTTGATTGTCCACAATAGAGATATCTAATGGTATAGTCCGTAGCCCCCATGCTCACATGAAATTCATCCTTCTTAGATGCTAAATTAGAGCTCATTCTTGGTCTTTAGGTGGTTTTAAACAATATTTTATTATCAAATCACCAACAACATGTAATTCTGACATGTATTATTTTGTTCTGACTATTTATAGTTCACTCTTATTGTGAATTTATATAAAGGTTTTGTTTTATTTTGTTAAATTTCACAGGATTTTGTATAAATTGATTTAATATCCAAATGAAAGGATTTATTAAACACGTGTGAACTCAAGATGATAAATTTTAACAAATATTTACTGAAAAAAGCAACTATTGTTCTATGGTCTCTCATTAAATGAAAATACTATATGTATAGTCCGTAGCCCAAGGT